TTACTTGTGTGGGTATCCTAAAATGACTTGATGGCTCTGAAAGTCCCCACGCTGTGCCCACACAGAATCTCTCTGGGTTTCAAACATCATTTCCTGCACAAATGGCTGGGATGTTACTCCCAGTGTATTTCAGGGCTGCAGTGTGTTGTTACAAAGCTCTGCATGCTTTAATATGAAGGTCATGACATAAAGGTCTGCCATTTCAAACCACTTCCTACTGCTGTGTTTTTTACTCTCTGTTGCAGAGTCTTCCTTGTTCTTCCTGCCCAGTGAGGATTCTGTCCTTCTCCTCCTAAATCTTCTGTCTTCATTTTACTTTATAATCTTAACTGAGTATTTTTATTAAATAGTTTTTAATTCTGTATTTAAATTTTCACATGGAAATTCTGTATTTTGCACATGGTGAAAATTGTTTTAGCTTTATTTATTATATCTGCTGTAAACAAAAATAAATGTAGTTCTTTATAAGTCTCCTTGTTTCATCTCTTCCTTTTATAAAGATTTCCTGGGTACAGAGACTTAGTAGTGACTTCACGCTGGTTTTGCACCTTCCTCTTGTGGTGGATGCTGTGGTGCTACCCTGCTTGTGGCCTGAGCCAGAGGCCCCAGAGTTTCACTGTGGTGGTGTCATTGCACACGTGTCCCTTGTGATGCACATCAGGGTCCCTGAGGAGTTGTCCCCTTGCTGCAGATCCAGGGTGACTGGTGCTGGGATTTACCCTTCCTGGGGATGAGGAGCTGGTGTTGGTGGGCATGGGGCACACACAAACAGCACTGTCCTCCTCTCTTTGGCCTCTGCTATCTTTCCTTACACTGTTATTTTACATATTAACATATGTCATAAAGGTAATAAGTTAATGTCTTTGGATTTTTTGTTGTGTTCAGGAAAAGCAGGTAATAACCCAGGATAAATCTTTACCTTTGCTACTGGCTCTGGAGTATTCCCAGTACCTGCTGGACCCCTGGAAGCTGAAGCTGGTGGTGACCCGTTGCCTGTTAACAGCTGCCTTGCTTTATTTAATTACTTTTTAAAATTTTATTTTAATTTTTGTATTTTAAGCTGGTGGTGGAATTCTTTTTAAACAGCAGTTTCTCCAAAAGAGCTTTCCTAAGTCCTCCTCCCCTTAATTTTCTGTCTTTTGCTTACTCTGTAATTCTTAAGCTATAATCTCTTCCTTTGCATTTCAAGGAAAAAAAAATCCCAGAAAGAATAGTCCCAAGAGTTTAATAGAAAGATTGTGTGATTTTATTTTTTTAAATGAATTAAAACTGAATCTCATTGGGGTTGTTTGAGTGACAGAAATGAGTTTTTAAAAAATGGTTGCTAAAGACATCATTGCCAAAGAGGAGCAAATGTTATTCTCAATGAATTAATCCATCTCCCTGCCAAAGGAAAAGCCACCAGGCACAGTTAAAGTTTGCTGTCTGAGGGAGAGATGATATCCATTATGAAAACATGGGCAACAAATACCACTGAGAACAATACTTGGCACTTAATTGTAACAGACAAAGCAATTGGGGTGAAACTGAATTTGCTCTTTGCACAGTTTACAGTTTTAGGCCGAGGCAGTGACAGGGAAACATCAGAAAAGTATTTTTGCCTGCAGAAGGTGATGATTTGTTTGGCACTGAAGTGTTGAGAGGCATCGCATGTTCATGGTGTTCTCACAAAGTTTTACTCATTCCTGCTAAAATATCAGTACAATAACTTGGAATTGGGGTACCATTTGAGCCTGGATTTACTTCTCCCAGAGATGCAGAAGGCCCAAGCAGTCCCATCACTAGCCAGTCCTGTCAGCAGAGGGATATACCTTGCAGGAGACAGCCCGTGCACTTGTGGACAGGGCAGGACACAGTGTATGGATAAGAAATAAAACAGAAAGATCAGCATGAGAGGAGGGAGTTTGTGTTGGTTCCCTCACTCTTGGTCAAAATTATTGCACAAAAAAACCACACATTCCCTGTTTTGCTGCTGGTAGTGCTGCTGAAGGGAGAGCCTGGTGGGTTAAGGTCTGTGTGAATGTGTGAATTGGGACTCCTTATCTTGTTGTGTGAGCAGAGCTCCCTGTGAGCAGGAGACCTGGATCTTCCTCCTGCTGTGCTCTGGAGTTCTCTCCAGGGCCTGGGCTCTGTCAGCAGTGCCCCCAAGGCTGGGTGCTGTGTCCCTTTGCAGAGCTGCAGTTGTTGAAATGAGAGGCAGGCAGGCTGCTCCTCTGGGCTCGCCCTGCCCTGGCACTGGGTGCCTCCCCAAAACCCATGGTTTCAGAGCAGGGAACACCAATGCCTCTTTGCCCAGTTAATGCCCTCTAAGACCTGATGTCACAGATGCCATTCCAGCATGAAAAGGGCAGAGGTGGTGCTGGCAGGCTCAGGAACTGCTCTCTTTCCTCTTCTTTGCACTGCTTCAAATGGGTTCTGAGCTTGTCTGTTGCCACAAGTGCCATTTGGATTGAAAATAAGTACAGAGATGTGCCTATTTTCTTTATTAAATTTCTTTTTTTGAAAAGCCAGGCTAACCTTTCATCCTCAAAGCCAAGCAGCATTAACTGCCTAGGTGTCTGTTAATGAAAATCAAACATGTCAGCATTCACTAAAGGTAACCCACCTTTATTATAATTATGCTAAGGCTTTAAAATTAAAAAGATCTCGTAGGTTTTAAACATACTTGATTTGAATAGAAGAATACAGACAAAACTTCTTAAAATTGCTCAAACACCAGCCTTTCATTAACTCTACCAAGAAGAGTAATTTCTGTTCCTCTGAGTTTCTTCTAAATTGCTACAGCTGTAAAATGCCAGTGAACGTTGCTTCGGTGTGTATTCCAACCTCAAGCAAAGACTATGATCTGCATTTTTCCACAGCATTATAGCAGTTAGTTACTATAATTTGCTTTAATTCAGTTCTGGCTCACTCATTCCTCACATTCCAATCAAAACACTGAGTTTTGAAATGCACTGAGTTCTGCATTAATATTTATGTTTTCAAAGACATGATGTGTTTGCAGATGACTTGATTTTTTTTGCCTGAAAGATCATGTCACTGAAGATAAGAAGACATTATGTATTAATGCCTGATGCAAGTGTACATATCAGTCATGTAAATATTTCCCCAAGTCTCTTTCCTTTCCTTCATGAACTGTGCTCACACAAAAAGAAGGGAGGCTTTAATCTCATCAGGTGGTGGGCTCCAAACTTGTTTGAAATGGATGGAATTTCTGAAATGTTTTTTTGAAATGTGAAATGATGAAATTTCCGTGTTGCTATAGTATTGGATTTGCCCTTTCAGCATTTGTTCTGCAGGTATTCATTCATTCACGTCTTTGTTTTAAGGTTTTTGGTGCTTTGAATCTGTGTCCAAAAATACTATTTTGACAGACACTGGAAACTGAAAGTGTTGTTGCTGCACTCCAAAATCATAGTTAATACATGCCTTAATATACCAGACTAACACAGATTGCTCTAATTAAATATATATTTACTCTCAAATGATAGAAGTAGTGTGCTATCATAGCAGGTTTTGTTTGAGAATCAATTTTTCTTAAAGGCACATATTCAGTATATCTAATAGGCTTCCTCTAAGTTTCTTTTTTTTCTCCTTTGTTAATTTTTGTTCAGTTTGTCTTAGCACATAAATGTGCACTGTCCCCTCAGATCCATTAAAAAATCATGGAAGTCTCTGGCTGGCTTTGAGAGCTTCATATTCCATGGTTTTATTTTGTGCCAGAATTCAGAAGTGTTTGTTTACAAAGTAGGTGATGGAGACTTGGAGAACGTGTTTTGCTGCTAAAGAACTTGTGTAGGTGCTGGCATGGGTCACAGGAGAGTGGGAGGAGATGGTCTCCTGGCACGGGGACAGGAGGACGGGGCTCATCCCTGCATCAGGGATGGAGAAGAGGTGGCAGGAAAGCCTTGTAGGCAGTGGTGGTTGGAAGCCAGGCAGGTGATCCGGTCCTGCTGCCCCAGGAAGCTCGTGCCATTCCATGGATAATGGGAGCAGCAATTCCCTTCAGTGTCTGCCACACGTTAGCCACAACAAAGTGGAAATTGCTTCTGTTAGAAGTGTGAGGAGGAAGAAGGGGAGATGTGGCAAGAACTAAAATCTGTGAAATGTCAGCCATCATTCCTTTTGTAGGAATCCTTTTCCAAGGGCAAAAACCTACCTGGTGGTATCTCAGGTGAGATGAAAAGTCAATGCTGGGACAGGACATCAGTTTGGGAATGCTGCTGGAAGCCTGATAGGCTCCTAAGGCAGATCTGTGGGATACCTCAGTGGGATGTCTTCATTCAGTTTCCAGCTCTGACACAGGCAGTGCTCCCATGCAGCCTCGTGTGTTTTGAGCTCAGGCTGCAGGATGCAACTGAGGCTCTGACAGGTCTGAGCTTGGGTTTCACTCGTGTGGGCTGCTGAGCCCTGTATTTCAGCAGCACCAAGGTCTAACCAAGCTGGAGGTGTTTTCCCATCCCCTCTGCCGGTCTGACATGGGCTGTGCTTTCCTGGACAGTGCTTTCTGCTCGGGATGTCACCCCTGAGCTCAGCGGGTTCATTTCAGCTGTGCTTGCACAGGTCTGGTGTTACCACACCTTCCTTCTGTCCCCGCAGCTTTCCTGAAGCACTGCTGTTTTGTAAGCTGGGCTCAGATTGGTTTTTCTTTTGTTGCACAGTAAGAAGTCAGGCAGTAAAGCGGGCTGGGTGTGCTACAGATCAATTTGTGGTCTGCTGAGTTTCCTAATGCTGGTTTTTGATGCCAGCTGGTGTTTGCTTTCACCATCAGAGCTGCCCACGTTTGTGAGTAACTCCACTTTGGAGCTGCCCACTGCTGTCAGAGCCTGAGTCAGCAGCTCCATACAAGGCCAGGCAGGGTGCACTCGCCCTGTGAATGAGTGATGAGGTGACACAGTGTCATGGCAGGCCAAGAGCCTCAGGATTGCCAGCCGGGAATGCAGCATGCCAGTTGGGCTGGAGCCTTGAATGGGGGCCCTGTGCTGTGTGGGGCAGCTGCACAGCAGGGAGGGTGAGCCCTCTGCCAGCCCTGGGTGCCAGGCACCCACACCCCGCTGACCAGAGCAGCACTCTGGATTTTGGTGGTGCCTTTCACCAGAAAGCCCTGTGCCAGTCCTGAGTGGCTGGGGCTGTTTTGGGTAAGTACTGTTGTACTGTTCCTGCTTCACAGCCCCCAGGCTGTGCCAGAAGTGGCAAAACATCACATGCTCGCTGCAGGTTGGGACAACTGACTGCAGGAGGTTTCATTCTTCCTCCCTATCCCCCAAACAGGGCCCACCAGGAATTGTTTCTTGTCTGCTCTTCCATAGCTGTGGAGCAGGGGTGGAGCTGTCTGCCCTTGGGGCAGGGCAGCTGTGGCAGGGTCCCCTTGCACTGCCAGCAGCAGGGAGGGATAATTTCTTGTCCCCTCTGAGGGCCCTGCTGGGTGTCTCCACCTGGTCAGCCACCAGACCTTGTGTTTGGTGTGTGGGGACCCCCAGCCTGGGCAGATCAGGAGTTACTGGAGTTGTTTTCTGGACCACCCTTCCCACAAATACTTTGTTCCTGACCACCACTACCTTGAGTGTGTTGTAAGCCAAAGAAGAAAGATACAATTTTTTAATTTGTTGTTTTCTGGCTCTGTTCATGCTTTTCATCTGCCTTCAGGGATGTTCTTTGGGTTTGTGTGAGTTTTCATACTTTGGTTGACTTGGCAAGGTTCACTCCCCCTTTCTTGTTATGTGGGGCTCCCATTTGGTCTGACTCACTTTAGCCAAGAAATCCCACAGGATTTGCTTAAAAATGAATTCCCATCACATGACTTAAAACCAGCTAAAGAGGTGGAGGGAGGAGAAATGTGAACACTTCCTGCTGTTTGTGGCCCAGCAGCATCGATTTGATGGGGAGCTGGCTGCAGCTGCCTTGGTTGGGGATTTTCAGTGGAGCATCTTTGACCATTTTTGTCCATGCAGAGAGGCACGTGGGGAGCAGCCACTCCTGAGAGGAGCTGATCAAAGCCAGCTGCCCTGGGCCAGCTGGTGTCCGAGCCGCCTGGCACGGCTCTGCTGGTGGGGAGGGGAATGTTTTTTGGCAGAGGCCAGGCTTTGTGCCATTGTGGGCAGCACGTGCTCTGCCTGAGGTGGGGAGGAAGCGGCTGACCCGGTCCAGCTGCCCCAGCAGGAGCTTGGCTCTGCCCGAAGCTGGCGGGTTCCCAAGGCCGTGTCACCTCCGTGCCAGGTCACAGCAGTGTGATCTGCCTTGGCAGATGAGTCAGGAGCAGCAGCAGCAGCCCGGCTGGAGTCAGGCTGCCTCGTGGGGCAGGACTGGCTGCACGAATGTTGTTGTTGAGTGAGAAATGACACAGACTCACCAGAAGGCTGGCTTGCATCGAGCGTGCGTCTTCACTTGGGATCCTCTTTTATACATTGTTCCAATACAGATAGACCTGCTTGGTCAATTAATCAATACATTTCACCTGATTGGCTAATTAACAAGACACCTTTCTTATAAACAGTCCTTGAGAAAAACAAGAAAACAGAGAGTAGGAAAACAGCACCTGCAGGTTTTTTGTGATAATAAGCTGTCATCGTTTATCTTCAACTCCCTAAAGTCTCACAAGATGATTCTGGGAAAACTTATCTAGTTTTCTTGTTCTGTGACCAGGCTGTCACATCCATGCACAAACAGCATCTCCTGCTCGTGCCTGGTGCCGGCCCTGGCGCTCAGGCTGGGGCACTGGGATGCTGCAGCCATCAACGCCTGACACATGGCAATCAGAGGTGTCCCAGTGGGTAGAGCTAAGCCCCTTGGAGAGGGCTGCTTCTTTGGCACAGCTACAGTGGCATGCTGCTGCTGCTGGGCACGTTTCTGAAGGGGACCCGTGCCAGGGACTCCTGGGGTTTTTTCATCAGCTCAGCAAAAGCCATTGTAATCTCACCTCTGAGCACGGTGTCACTGCAAGCTTCCAGGGCTGTAGGAATATCCATGTAGCTCGTGTCTGTAACAGGCAGCATGATACAGACAAGAAAGATCTCCCCACTGCTGTGCTGCACTGTCAGCTTTGCTCTGGTAGCTGAGGAAGAAAGGCAACCCAAAGTATTAGCAAAACCTCTTGAGATCCCAGAGTCCCTGATCCCACATCCCAGGAGATTTCTCCATTCTTGTTTCTGGACCTTGGGATGACTTTGGCTCTGCAAATGGGTTGATCCAAGGCACGGTTTCAGAAGAATTTCCATTAGAAAAGGCAACATCTGTGGGGACATCAGGTTTCACTGCCATGTTCCTGCCTTGGGCACTGAGCCTTTGCAGGACAGTGATGCTGCATAAAGGTCCTGTTAGATGCTGAAATGCATACAGACTGAGGTTGCCGTTACAAAAAGTTATTTAAAAAAGAAAAATGGTAAAAATACTTTTTAGGTTATGGTGGATTATCACTCTGTAAACAATGTGAATTTTACAAGCCTGTCACTGAGAGAATCAGGGTTGCACTGAACTTTGAGTGAGCAGAAGAGCCATGCTGAATTTGCCTGCTTTTGGTTAGCAAGACAATGCCTTGTGCCCATGAGCTTCCTGAAGGGCTCAGCCAGGGAAAGCATCTCCAGAGAGATGGAGGGAAAGGTGTTTTATAATGTCTTTGTCCCTCACTGCTGCATCTCTGACTAATTCAAGGCCTGGTGCAGACATTTCTGTCTCAAATGCAAAGGTGAGCTGGCACAACGTTGAATTAAAACACTAGGCATGACACTTAATGGAGAGAAAAACTATGTTTTAAAGGAAAGGGGCTTGTATCTGTATCTGTCCTTGGAGTCTGCAGGGGCTCTTTGGCCATGCCCATGGGTTGGAGTGAGTTTTGACTGGCCCTGACCTCTGGGTGAGAGCCAACCCAGGTAGAAGCCCTGCAAGCTGAAGCCTTAGGAATACTTCTCAGTTACCACAGGGCTTAGCTAAATCCTTGCCCTGTAAGGAAAACAGTCATTTCTCTGCCCATGTGAGGAGGGTGAGGTGAGTTTTGAAATGCAGACAAAGGAGAAATTGTTTTTATCCCCATTTTTCATTGTGTTTGAGTGGGAAGGCCAGATGAATATGTGATTGTTCTGTTAAATTCACTGGCTGTGTTGCTGCTCTTAAGTAGCTGAAGGCAGCTAAGCTTCACTGCTTGCATAAAAAAAAATATTAAAACCCCAACCACCAAACAAACAAGCAAAAAAACAAACGAAAAACCCCCACAAACTCTAAAGCCATGTTCTTTGCTCTAAATGCAAGTCAAAGACTGGGGCAATTGTGGATTATGTTATGGATGAGAAGGATCATCATATGTGGGTAACAGCACAGTAAGGTGGGAGTTAACCACAGCTGAAGGAATATGCAAGTCAAAGACTGGGGCAATTGTGGATAATGTTATGGATGAGAAGGATCATCACATGTAAGCACAGTAAGGTGGGAGTTGACAACAGCTGAAGGAAAGGAAAACATAAATTCCTTTAATGCTATCAGCAAGCTGGAGCTGTGTACACGCAGCCCCTAAAGCAGCACGAGCACCCCGAGCTGTGCTGGCTCAGCAGCTGCAGCTCTGGCCAGGCAGAGCCCCAGGCTCAGCCCTGCACCCCACAGTCCCAAAGCAGAGCCAGGATTTGGGAATTAGCGCACTCTGCTCTCCCCGGCTGGCTCGGCGAGCTCCAGCATCCAGAAAGGGCACAGCACTCGCTGTCAGGAGGTTTCACTTGAGCCACTGCTGAGGGACTGGTGGGGTGTGCTGGTGCCAGAGCTGCTCTGACCGCGACACAGCGCTGGCACCTTCCCACGCGAGCCTTGTCCTGCTGCTCCAGCCCCCTCCCGCGGGCCACTTGAGTCTTTTGGCCCAGGATTAGCCGGGCCTCCAGGCCAAAGTGTGCTGTGGAGCAGGCAGGTTCCCTGCTGGAAGTCTTCAGCGTGCTGAGGCCCAGGGAGTAGGAAGCGTGGAGCGAGCACGATGGAAATGAAGTAAGGCCTTACGCAAATGCTATTTTGAGGCACTGCTTCCTGAGGCCTGGGCTTTCCTCTGATAAGGCCCCGCGCAGAGGTCAGCGGCATGGCACCACTCTGCACAGGCAGGAAACGGGGCTGTGCCTTTTCCATCCTGCACACGGGATACCTCTGCAGCTTTTACTTTTTATAAAGCTCACTTCCTCTGACTCAGTCTCTTAGCTTCTAGTCAAAAATCTCCTGTCCTGGGGAGGAAATAATTAGGGTGCTGGAGCATCTCTCTCATGAGGACAGGCTGAGAGATTTGGGCCTTGAGAAGAGATGACTGAGAGGGGACCTCATCAAAGTCTATCAGTGTCTGAAGGGAGGGTGAAAAGAGGCCAGAGTCTGGCTCTGCTCAGTGGTGCTGAGCACTAGGACAAGAGGCAATGGACAGAAACTGGTGCACAGGAGGTTCCACCTGAACATGAAGAAGAACTTCTTCACTGTGCAGTGGCTGTGCAGAGGGACAGGTTGCCCAGAGAGGGTGTGGAGTGTCCCTCACTGGAGATACTCAAGAACCAGGCACAGACCTAGGAAAGGACTCAAGCAGCAGCAGCAGCCTGAAGTCCTTCACTAGCATTCTGAGGTCCTGGCAGTCTCAACCTGCACTATGATGGGAACCAGAGCACTGAGGTTTACAGTCTGGTTTCCACCCTAAAGTCAGAATTCCAGAAAATCAGGGTCCTCCTGCTCAGCCTTGCTGTGCTGACATCTCACTGAGGACCTTGCTGGTGCTGCAAGGATGGGTGTCTGTTCAGGATTCAGGGAGTGCTGTGAGGCTGAAACTTTCTGAATGATCTGCTTCTAATTTAGCCTATCATCTGTCCAGGAGCATAAATGTGTGCCTCACCTTTGTGTAAGTACTCAGCCTTTGGGCTCATTCAACAGAAATTAGTTCACAGCCCTTCTGTAACTGCTAAATAGGAGCTGTAAAGAAGTCCCAGATTTCTTTTTGGATGCATTGTTTGTATCAGAACATAACTTCTGCTTCTGGATCCTCCTCAAATGTGGCAGCGCTGGCCCGTGGCACAGTCGCAGGGTGGCTGGCTGGATGTGTCTGCACTGCTGTGGGGGAGCAGGTGATGACTGCCAGGGGGATCCAGGCCTGTGGAGCTCTGGGCTTTTGCTTGGATTGGCCACACTCTCCCCCCATGGTGCTTACACAAGGCTGGCAGCAGCACATCCCTGCTGCCTGAACTCGCTCCTCCGGACCCCTGCTGTCCTCAGGGATTGAAAACTCTCCTGCTTCTTAGGAGGTGGTGAAGCATCCTCAGAGCCTACAAAAAAACCCCGTGATGTGGGACATCTGGGGCATCTCTGCTTTCTGTTTGAGCCTGTTAGCCAAGGTACAGCCCTCTGATGAGGGACAGAGGTTCTGCCGTTAAACTTTCCAAATGCCCTGCAGAATGTGTAAGGCAGTGCTGGAGTTCATGTGCCCATGTGGGTGTCCCATGCACTGAAACACCAAGATGGTCCAGTCTCTGCTTTTATGGAGCTGAGTGCAACATAATTTATTCAATTTATATGTCTCACTAAAATACTGATAAAATATGTCAGTAAGGAGTGGGTTTGCCTTCAAATCCTAGAGTGGTTTGGGTGGGAAGGGACCTACAGAGAACTAGTCCAACCCCCTGCCATGGGCAAGAGCGCTGGTCTTGAACCTGGTTGGTATTACTGTGGATGTAAACTAAACTTGCTCAGAAAGGACTTTGCTGTTTTAACAGCCTTCTGAGGGGGTCAGCTCCTGGGTGCAGAGTTCAAGAAGGGGAGGGATTGCGATGCCAGAAAGAAATTTACAAAATAAAAAAGCAAGCACAGAAATGTACCTCTCTAGAGAGGTAATGGTGCCATCCATCACTGTCATCTGGTGTCCTGGATGGCACCCTGAGGTCCCTCACCAGCTCTGTTACATGTCCCTAATGGTTGGGAACTGGATGTGCAGCAAGCTATTGCAGAGGGACATGTTGACTGGAAATGTGTTCACATTCAGGAACCATGCTAGGAATCACTGTAGGTTGTCTGTCTGTGGGTTTTGATGGTCTCCAGCTGTGTGTCTGTTAGTCATAAACATGTTTTCTCCTCTTTCCTGAGAGCGTGGCAGGGAAAGCATAGTGAGTGAGGCGGGAAAAAACACAATGAATGTGCAAGCCAGTGGCAAAACTGACTTTCTTTAGCAGCACCTGAAGTGACCTTGGATAGTGTTTATTGCCAACATAGGTACAGAATTTATAGAAAGAGCTGGCAAACTATTATTTGCATGTGCTTGCTCTGATTTTCATGTAAAATGCACCATCTTTTAAGGAGAAAGTTGAGCTGAAGGATTTGGGGTTTACAAATAGGCTCAAAACACTCAATTTTACTTAGCTGCTGGAAACTACAGCATCTTTGGGTGGGTGGCCTGGTTGGGCCAAAATAGAAGTCAGACATAAAAATCAGAGAGGTATGAATTTCTTCCCATCTCCCAGAGGAAATGAAACCTCTGCAGTCAAGAAACACGTGGCTGCTGTGGTGCCTCAATTGAGCTGGATGCAGGGCCTGAGCATGTTGAAGCTAAAAACTCCTGCAAAGGGAGTGCACTCCTCAGAGGGAGTGGGGTGAGTGCACTCCTGCAATAAATGGAGGCACTGCAAGTTAAATAGGAGTTTAATTGATGTTAACTAGATGGTTTGCACCAGCAGATCAGAAAATAAGCCATGTCCCAAGTTTGATATTTCCCCCCAGGTGTAAATTAGAAGCACCAGTGTTGAATTGGATGCAGGTAAAGCACCACATATGGGCAGTGAACCAAGCACAGCCACTCTCCTGGAGCTTGTCATTTGGCCCTTCTGCACCCAGCCCCAGGGAACTTTGCAGCTGATATGTTTGTGTCTATCTGCTTGAGTGGGAGATTGTGGGCAGATAAGGTTGCTCAGAAATGAAGGATTTCACAGGGAGAAATGATCGCCTGTCTTAATCACTTGGAGTGAGCCAGGGAAACATGGCTTTATTCTTTGTTTCCCCTGCCTGAATGTGAAGTTCAGGGATAGCGCTGTTCAACTGCTGGAATGCTCCTTCTTTTCACAAATCAGAGTCTGTATTTGCTGTACCCAATCAAAAATAACCTGAAGGGTCTGTTTTTGTTTTGCTCACTCCCGCTGTCCTAAACTGACCTAAACTTGCAGTGTGAGGCTGAAAGTTCAGCCATCTAAGCACGGTTGGTTCATCTGCCTCCTGCCACACACACAGAACCATAAGGGGCTGGAAAAGAGCACATAAATCCCTATTTGTGTGGCTGGCACGTGTGGCACTGCTGCCACCAGGCACCAGGCTGATGCCCATCCCACTGAGCAGCACCAGGACCCGCAGCTGCAGAAGCTGAGGCTGCTCATGGAGGTTCCTTCTCTCTGGATCCAAGCTGAGGAGCCCTGACAGGGCTGTACTGGGCTGGAGGAGTGTTTCTGCCATGCCAGGCTGCCAGTGCACACGCTTTGCCTGTGCCTTTGGGGACAGCACAGGACCCCAGGCAGAAACCACCAGCAAGGACCACTCAAGCGCAGGGGCGAGGTGCCCCATGGACTCCCTCCTCCCCTAACAGCCTGCTGTCACCTTTGTGCCTCCCCAGGCTGCTGCCTGCCCGTGGCTGGTGAGCCCAGCTCCCCCAAGAAGGCGAGGAGCACCCCTGAGCAGCAGGAGCTGGAGCGCTGGTTGTCACCCCCTTCCCCCGAGTGGGCCATCGTGAGGGTGATCCCCGAGGAGGAGATGGCCGAGCACAACCTCCTCGCCGTTCGAGTCATGGTCACCAGCGATGCCAGCAGGTACTTGAAATGCAGCTGAACCCACAAGAGCAGCTTGCTTTTCTCTGGAATGCTAAAGAAAATCATGACAAAATATAGTGCTGGATGTGTGTACAGCTTGGGGGGGGGGGGGATGTACAAACAAAACCCCCCCCACAAATGCTCAGAAGAACAGTTGTTCTTAACCGCAGCCATAAATCCCCACAAGGCACATGAATCACTTTGCAGGAAATGTTCAAGCATTCCCATCCCACACAGGGGCCTGAATCAGAGGGATAAACATTGCTGTGATCAGCTTGGGGTCAGCTCTTGGAATGGACAGTTTTTGTTACACGAGGATTTGGGCAATGGGTGTGTTGTGGCAAAAGGTGCATCCTATGATGTGGCCACCTCCCACCCTGGGCCTCATCCTGCAGCTCCACACCCTGGGCCTCTCCTGGGTTTTGAGAGCCTGCCCATCCCTGAGAAATCTGAAATTTTATGAACCTTGGGGAGCTGTCAGAGGAAGCCCAATTCTACATACTCACAAGAATATATTTGCTTTTGGGCAGGGTTCTGTGGCAGTTTGTTCCATCTAAAGATTACATTGGTATCCTCTGACTAAAGCACTTTGCCTTACTGACAACTAAACAGTAAGAGGGGAAGTGAAAAACAAAAAGGAAAAAAAGGCAAACCCAAGAGACCAGCTGTTGCAAACACTGCTGCTCTGCAGGGAAGCTCATTCAGATCCCTGACATCCTCTAAACACCCACTTGTGGTGCTGTGTGCAGCTTTTGGAGAGCAACCTGGCTCTGAGAAATGCAACTTTCTGCTATTCCCTGAGGTGGCTGTAAGTGGGGTTTGTGCTCTGTGAGTGCTGTGTGCTCTTACAGGGAAGGATGAACCTGTCCATGAGGAAATGGAGAGCACAGGGAAAGGTTTCCTGCCTGTTTGACAGCGCCCCTGCAGAGCATGTGCTCGCATCCCCTGCTAACACCCTGCAGCTCCTGGTGTCCAGGCAGTGATGAGAGGCAGCTAATCCCCCTGATCTGAGGGATCAGCTCCTTCCCCTGGGGCTGGACAGCAGTGCCCCTGGCTCCCTGCCAGCAGGACGTGGCACAGTGGGTGCCAGTGACACAGGGGGTGACAGCACAGCGGGTGCCAGTGGCTCCCAGGGGAACGTCCCACTGCCCCCTCTGCCTTGGACTGCTCTGGCAGGACAGTCCCTGCCTGAAAGGGGGGAAAAGAGAAACAGCAAGTGCCAAATGGCACTGCTGAGCTGGCTGCAGGGAGCTCTGTGGGACTGGGAAAATTACCAGCTCGGTGACACAGCTTTGCAGTTCAGGCTTTAGGTACTGTGAATAATGACCCCCTTTCCAGCAGAGACAAGAGGAGAAACCTCATACTAGAGCACTTACCTCTTTGCTGGCCAAGGAAAATACGTGTTTTGCTCTTTAAAACAGAAAGATATCAATCAATGTTCATGGCAGGGCTTTTTCTTTTCCTTTGGTGTGGCGTTCTGCCCAATCTCAGTGTGGTGTCTCTCCATCCACACAGGGTCTCAGCTATCAAAGCCTTCATGTATTTATACTTTTACATATATATGGCTACATCTATCTGTATGGTTGACATTGCTTGAAAGCTTAAAAAGTGTGTTTTAGCATGAAATTCAAGGCCAGTCTGATTCAGCCTGCTGACAGAGCAGTGCACCTGGAGAGGTGCTCACTTCCCTGCTGTCCTGCCTGCCCTGGCCTCCCAGTACTGCTGGTTGGATCTGGGTGAAGCTGGGGGCCAGGACTGGTGGGTGCTACCCAAAAGTGTGCCTTTATACAGGCCTGCAGCCTCTCCTTTCCCCTTCTTCCTCCTGGGTTGTGCCCTGGGCTGTGACAACAAAACCCTGCTTTCTTCTGTGTAAACACAGAGCAGCGTTCTCCTGCCATGCCAGCAGGACTGCTGACGGTGTGAGCCCCTCTTCTTTTGAGGCACAGCTGCTCATCATCACAGTAAATCTAAGAATTAGGTTGGCAGTATTGTTTGCATGCAAAAGAGGCTGAGTGGGATCCTGCTGCACTCGTGTGTGGCAGTGGGAATGTGGTCACATCAGAAGGGCTGACGGTGTCTATTTCCTACAGCCTGGACTTCAGAGATGAAAGAAATGGCCTGAATACTAGAAAAAGGGCTAATAATCACCTCAAACAGTCGTTGTGCCCTGAGGCAAGGTCAGGATGTGCATATCATCCACACTGGTGTTTGTGTGGTGTATTTTTAATTACATTTACACAAAGACATGCCATTATCTGCCTCTGTGAGCAGCTCAGGTGCCTCCCTGCACTGCTCAGTGTTACATGGGCTGGCCCAGTGGCTCCTAGGAATGAGGAGAGTTTGTTTCCTTCTTTCCTACAGACACCTTTTGCACATTTGAAGGCTGCTTGGGTAGCTTCACTCAATCCTCTCTCTCTAGACTTATGCTTACAATTTCTCCAGCTTCTTGGCTCAGCCTTACTTGCTGGGCCTGTGGCTGTCCTCATGCCTCTCCTGCAGGCTCCCTTCTCCTTTTCTTTTCACAAATCTGCAGGAAAAATATGAAAAGTGTAGAGTTCTGACCCTTGTGCATTGTTTGAGAGGTTTCACCCCGAGTCCCTCTCAGCAGAGCTTTGGTTCCAGGTGCTGAACGTTGTGGCTGTGCGTGCAAATCCAGACTCTGATGGGAATGGGGATAGCTCAGCTGGGTAGCACCTACAGCAAACCACAGTCCTGTCATAGTGTTGATGAAAGAAGGAAAAAGAGGACATCAGCTTTGGCTGCCAGGCACCTCTTCCTCTGAAACACCCACACTGCTGTCAGGGCTCGTGCACCCCCTGAAATGTCCCACTTCCATCTTGCCTTTTCCCTGTAGCTCTGAGCTGGAGTCTGAGTTCAACGGGGACTCCTCGAACTCGGAGGCGAGCGAAGGCCAGAGCTGGCTGCCGGCGCCGCCCGCCTGCTCCAGCCCCATCCAGAGGTGGGCATCGCTCCTCAGGAGCCCCGTGGTGCCCGAGGAAAGCTCCAGAACATCCAAAGTCGCTGATGGTAAGCAGTATCCTGACCTGGGGGTGCTCCAGCAGCTTCTCTCAGGGTGCAGGTAGGGCTGGGGGAGACCTTTCAAAGTGGAGGGTGTTCCCTGCAGTGTGGCCAGGTTGTCTTTTTGGGGGGTTTTCTGCCTTTTTGGTGCTGTGACTCAAGCCCCATTTCCATAGTGCAGGGTAACCTGGAGGAGTTGTGTCTCGTGCTTGGCTTGCAGGAGTGGGGTGAATGTTTTCCCACCAGTAAAGTGTCAGGATGGTGTTAGGCAATGCCATATCTGCAGCACTGCCTGGGCAAGGGCGAGGCTGGCAATCACTAGAGAGCCCTGCTTGCAACAATTTGGGTTTGCACAGGGAGCTACTGCATGGTTCTGTAGCCAGTGAAAGCACAGGGAGGAAAGGCTATAGCTAGCAGGGAGGTGGGGAGAGGCTTGGGAACAATCTGCCTTCAAATGGAAAGAAACTCTTTTTCTGCAGCTGGTCAGAACTAAAAGATGTGCTAAAAACAGCCAAAGACATGGTTCTGCAGAAAATAAAAGGCCACCAGCATTCTTTTCTTCCCATTTCCCACCACCCCCACACCCATATATGCATTTTTAATCCAAGCAGAAAAGAGGGGATTTTTTACAGCAATTTTAATCAATTCTTGAATAACAGAGCCCTTGTTTAAGGCAAAAGGACAGCAGCAGACCCCAAAACGTGCCCAGCCATGTAGCCACTGAAGGATTTCATCCCTTTTCTTCCGCAGTTTCACGCTGCCCCATCCCTGGCTGCCGAGGTGTGTTCCTGCCACCATGCCCCGTGTTTGGGATCAGTGGCAGGGTCCTGAGCTGCTCCCGCATCCCGGGTGCGCGCTGCCCTCTTCCGGCTGCAGGCTGCTGGGAAAACGGAGCCCTGCCGCTGGGAAACTGAGCTTCTGTCCCTCCACTCCTCTGTTTTCCCCAGCTCCACTTTTGCTCTCTGGCTTTTGCTGCATTAGCTGACCCTGTGTCCCTTCTGTTTCTGCCCAGCACTCCAGAGAGCCAACAGTTTTCAGTCCACGGCGTTAAATAAATATCAGAATTGGAGGAGAAAAATCCAAACCAGTGAGTAGAGCCTGAGAAGTGAAGTATCTTCTATTCATGCTGTTTTCCTGTCTTTCAGTTGTCTGTTTTCTCTCCTTTCCTTTAGAATTTTTGTATTTTTGAGTCACTAGTCCCTACTAGTTTCATATTTTGAGTCACTAGTTGAGAAAACAGAGGTCGAAAACACACCAAATGTTTCTTTCCATTTTCTTATCAAAAGATCCAGCTCCCTTTCTGTGTGACTGTTCTCTGTGTAGCTATACCCATCAGCAGGTGGTGTCCACTTCAGCTCTCCAGATGGGAACGCACACTCCTGTCCCAGATATTTTGTCTCTAGCCCACCTGCACTGATTGCTTTTGATCAGGTGGGACTCTGGGTCTGACCTGGTGCTCCTGGAAGTGCCTGTTGGCACACTCCCACTGGTGCTGTCACCTCTTTTCTGTTGGGGAAAAAAACCACAAAAAACCATACACCAAAAAAAACCACCAAAAAAACCCCCCAGGTGATATTTCTGGGTTGGTGAAAGGGAGAAAGCCAATCCCAAGAGGTGACGTGGTAAAAATAAGTGTTAGTGGTTCTTGTCCTCTAGCAGTTTCCCTTGGTTTGGGCTGCCCTGTCTTTCCCTGTGGAAGTCCCACAGGAATGCAGTGATTTTGATAGATTGTGCTCTATTCACTTCTGAAGCACAGTGTGGTCACCCCTGTCACCTGAGGCTGCATGGGTAACCTTCCTCCTGGGCTGGGGTCCCCAGGCAGGACACCCAGCCAGAAAAAAAAAAAAACAAAACCAAAAACCAAAACAAACAAACAAACAAAAAAACCATACACCAAAAAACCCCCCAGGTGATATTTCTGGGTTGGTGAAAGGGAGAAAGCCAATCCCAAGAGGTGACGTGGTAAAAATAAGTGTTAGTGGTTCTTGTCCTCTAGCAGTTTCCCTTGGTTTGGGCTGCCCTGTCTTTCCCTGTGGAAGTCCCACAGGAATGCAGTGATTTTGATAGATTGTGCTCTATTCACTTCTGAAGCACAGTGTGGTCACCCCTCTCACCTGAGGCTGCACGGGTAACCTTCCTCATGGGCTGGGGTCCCCAGGCAGGACACCGAGCCAGGTTCACCCCTGCTGCTTGGGACTGGATCTCCCTCCTGCCTGCACAGCCTCAGCAAGGGCACACACTTTCCTGCCTGTGCCCTAAGGACTGGCAGGTTCCTGCTGGGACTGGCCTCAGCATTGGGGCTGGGGGAGCTCAGCAGCCCCAGAGCCCCTCAGAGCTCTGCCAGAAGTGCACTTGTGTCTGGGAGCCGGGGTGTTGGCACACTGGAGTGTGAACCTGGGTGCACAGCAGCAGCAGGGGACTGAGGGCCACAGTTTCTGGGCACAGAGACAGCAGGATTTGGGAATGGTGGGGAAAGCTGCTCTTTAACCCTGCCCTAAGCTGCCCTCTGCAGCAAGGGACATTTCTGCTGCTGCTCAGTGTCCCAGCTGCCTTCAGCGGAGTTATGGCTCTGCTTCTGAAACATGAGGGGACCAGTGCTCAAGCAGAGGCATTTCAGCTTGCTTGCTTTGAATGCACAAGAAAGCTTTGAGATTTTTTGCGAGTACCCACTGTGGGATGAATTTTTATATCTCAAGTGATGAGATAAGATGTATTTCCTCCTCCTTCCACGCATCAGCCTTGCCTTCAAGTCAGGTGCACACGAGCACTGTCACTGCCCACCCACAGTCCCCTGGAGGCCCCGGGTGCCTCACATGTGGGATAAATCTCAGTAGAGCACACACAGGGCTAGTTCATGCTCCTGAGAGGAGGCCTCCACCAAGCTCTGTGAGGGTCTGTCCCTGGAGAGGCAGCTATGGCAGACAGACAGGCAGGACAGGGCTGCATTCCCTGGGATTCCCTGCACCAGGAGCCGTGAGGCTTTGCCATGCTCTGGGAGGCTGCCTGGGGTGTCCCACCCAGGGGGGGCTCCCCCATGCCTGGGATGACAAGGTGGAACAGGGTGTCCTCCAAGCCTCCTGGCATCCCTGTCAGCCTTGGCTCTGCCTCTTGGGTACTGTAAATGTGTGGGAATTGGCACAGACATCAGAGTTTGGCTCCACCAAAGGCTTGGATTTAAAGTCTTGCCTTAATTGATCTCAGTTTTTAAAAGATTAATCAATAATGATTCTTGATCCAGGTTTCCATGTGGGCTAAGAAAGATTGTTAGAGAGGAAAGCAGAGAAGACTGGAGAGGGTGTCCCTCTTAATTCTGACTGATTTTCAGCTTGTTCTCAGCAGGGACATTACTTAGTGGTTTGCCAAGTAATTTTTCTATAATATTGTTAAAATCTTCTGTGTACCTCAAGGGCTCTAGAGGGAGCTAAAAGCCTTTGAGAGGGAAGCAATGAGCATGAGTCTGCCTGAACCTCAAGTATGCTGTTAAAATGAGGTGTAAAGCACAGTCAGCATACACTGGGAGCAGAATAAAAGCTTTTTTACTCTCTGGAGGAAGACTGTAAATCATAGTTTCTATATTTAATCCAATTTGATTAAAGGAATTCATATGATCATCAGTCACATGAAAAAAACCTCTGTCTCCTTTTCAGACATATTTCCCCAAACACATATGTTTCATAAACAGCACAGGGTAGGCAGCCAAGGAGAGGAAATCAGTGTCATGGCTATATTGGCTGAAAGGCTCAGAGCAGGATATTACCTTTCAAAACCTTTAATCCCCATCGCACGGCCACAGGGAACACCGTGCTCTTAATTTATCTTGGGATTTTGGGCCAAGAAGATCGTGATAGCGCCCTAGGGAACTTTTTTTTTTTTTTTTTTTAAATCCTGTTTTGAAAGCAAAGCTGAAAATACAGGTTCAGCATCTTGGTGGGAATGAGACTGTTTTCCCTGTGACAGATGGGGAGCTGTGGCTTTGTGTGGAGCGATGTTCTCACGTGTGCAGGCCTGTCCTTGTAAGCCTGCCCACGAGAGCTGGGGTGGACAGAAATTCTCCCCACGGGCATGAGCAGACCCCTGGGCTGGGGGTTTTGTGCCCTCATCAGTGTTCTGGCTGTCGCTGCTGCAGCACTTGCATTTCCTCTCAGTGTCCTGAACCATGACGTTTGCTCCTGCCAAGAGGTTCAAGGCTTTAGTGGATCAGGCTGAAGCCCCCTAGCTCACTCATGCAGGTGGTGGTGGTAGTGGCTTTTTTATCCTAATTGTGCATTCTCATGTTTTCCTGTAGCTCAATTACAGAATATAAAGGTCGGCCCCTGGCTGCCATCCCTGCAGGAGCTCCTTAACAGGCTCCAGCACAGTGTGTCTCTCCAGTCTTGATCAAACATAACAAGTTGCATCAAGATTGGATACAAATAAGTGAGACAACCAGAGGAAACTCAGCCTCCCTCCCTGGCTTTGCTGAAGTCCACATGCAGCAGCTCTCCTCTCTGTCTCTGGCGTGTTGCTTTTGTCCTTATGCACCTTTTAATCCCCATGTAGAAGAACCAAAGTTTGCATGGATTTCAGAACTAATGGTTGGGTTTGGCAGTTAATAACTGAGCTGTAAATATACTTGTGTTACAGCTGGACATGATAATATCTTGGATCAGGGATACTTTTGTTTGTCCAAAGATTATTTGTTATGTAAAATTCCCATAGGCACAAGTAGTGGAAGGTTCTCCTGCCTCCCATCAGGTGCAAGTTGCCTCCTTTAGTAATTAATTACCTTGCCTCATCCTAGGAGAGCCCCCTCATGCTGCCTGTTGTCCTGGCTTGGGAGACTTTTTTCTGTCCTTACTGCCTGCAGGTGGATGCATTCCCACTTTGTCCCCATTCTGATGGACAGCCCTCTCAGAAGTCATCCTTTTTCTTAATTTCTTGGAATTACCCAAAGTTCAAAAGTCACAGGTTGTATGACTGCCTCTGCTTCTGAGGCCTGAAGGCCCTCTAAAGAGGACTGGCTTTCCAGAAAGCGTCCTGCAACTCAAAAGCTGCTTCACTACATCCAGCCCAGAGGTGGAAGCAGTTCAGCTCCACTGCTGACAATATTAGCCTGTGTTTGGCACAGCACACACACACATATGTGAGCGAGGCCATCAACTTCAATGCTGCAGGTCAGCTCTGCAGCTTTAATCTACTCAGGAGGCTGTTTAATCCTCTACTCTTCTTCTTCAATTGCAGACTTCATTTTAGACAGAGCCAATACCAATGGGAAGGTAAAAGTTGTGTCTTTTGCAGGCTTTCCTCTGCTGTCAAGCAAGAAACCTGGGCTACACGGGAAGGACAGCTCAGGCAGCTGCCAGAGTGGTGCTGCAGAGGAGCACTCCCAAACACAGGTACGAAGGAGAATTGTGCAGAGCAGAGTGACTGTGACTGCTGCTGGGCCGTGTCTGTTCTCAGCAGGCTGTCTCTGCTCCTTTAAATAGTTTGGGTCCTCACAGTAACACTGAGGATGGAGTTAGACTTGTGCTGTATGTAGGGAAGAGACTTGGATTTGATGTAATCATTCCCAAATCCAGTGTCTGTGAGACTCAGGCCTCAATCACGAGCAGTTAGCCACTAATCTGTTGCATCAGTCATAAAATCACAGAATAGTTTAGGCTGGAAAAGGATTTCATATCTCCCACTGCTCAGGAGCGTCTTCTGTGTCCTTCAGGACCTCGGATTTCCATGGTATTTTCTGAAGGATTTTATTTTTAGATTTTTTAAGAATGAGGAAGGGTGGGCCTGCCATGAGTGCAGCAGTGGAGTCGTGGCTGACCATCCTGAGCAAAGAGCAGCACGTCCCTGGAGCCAGGTGGAGCAGGGACCAGCCCACATCCTCCATGCCCTGGACAGTTGTCCTCACCCTTGGGTTAAACTTGACTAAAAGTACTTGACCTCTGGGCCTGTTCTGGGAAAAAAATCCACTCTTGCACATCGACGGTGGTGGCTGAAATCCGGTGCAGGACAATGGGGCAGGAAAGGGAACATCCCAGGGGAGCAGAGCTGCACAGCACTGCCTGCCCACGAGGAGAGGCCACTCCATTCAGCTCCTGCTCTACCAGCACTGCTCAGAGGCCTTTTTCTCACTCTGAAAAGCAAGGATTCAGAGGGTGTTTATTTGTTTATTGTGTTTCTTTTATTTATTTTTTTTTTTTAATCCAAGATCCTGGCCAGTAACAACTTTAGTCATCAAACAGAAGTGTGAAACAAAGTGCAATCATTATTGCCTTACTTCTGATGCTTCTGGGAAATGAAAAATCAGACAGATTAATGGCTTCACCCATGTGAATTTGGGTATCTGGCACATAAGTGGAAGCAGGAATTCAATCTTCACACCATCCATTATCACATAGCGCTGATGATAAAATGCCTCCCTTTCAAGAAGGAAGGAAGGAAGGACTCTAGTTTTGTTCTGCTGGCTACATAAAGTGGGTATTTATCCCTGTTACTATCTTCAGCAGAAGATTTTGGTGGCTGGAGTAATAAATTTAAACCCTTACCAAAGGAAAAATAATCACGAGAGGAAACAAATTTAATTGTTTAAAACTACAATTTTGCATTTTATAATCTTTCCTGGGTCACTACTTCTGTTCCTACCTGTGCTACATAAACATGCAATATTAAAAAAACATTTGGAGAGGATGGATTATGGTCTCTTTTGCTTGCTCAAAACCTAAGGTGATGCAACTGGAACACACAGGGAATAGAGCAGATCTGCTCTTCTGTTTTCCTAGAGATAGGACTGTTTATTTCTAAAGAAAATATTAAAGGTAATTCATAAAGATATGACAGATTCTTGGCATGAATAACATTATTTTCAGACTATTAAAATTTCCAGTAGTATTAGATCTCTACTCCTAAAGAAATATTAGCCCTTTAGGAGAAAAGCTTTTCTCACATTATCATCTACATGTGTATTTGTATAAATTAAATATGTTCATCACTATTATGTTAAGATTAAAATGGAATAAAATATTTTATGAAATAGAAGCTACAGAAACCAGTGTTTTTATATCCCTAAAATATATATTTTTTAATGCACTTCACAGTTGGCCTCTTACAACAAGCCACCAGAAATTCCAAGAGGACATTGCAAACCCTGCAGCCCAGTATTTCAAAGAAAAGAAAGAGCCAGGGAGAATCCTGAAGACACACATTGCTATGTTCCCCACTGTCCTTTTCAGAGCAGCACCACGGGTTCTCCACAGGCCCCTCTTGGGAATGCTGATTTTTATGAGCCTGAAGACACAGACAGTGACACTGGGACATGCTCAGCCTGGGACTGGAAGGACAAAACACGAAGACACACCTCTGAACCAGAGCACTTTAACAGGAAGGCAAAAGCACTGTCATCTCTGGATTCGAAAGAGAAAGATGGCAAAAATACCAGGCACCCAGAAGAAAAGCTTGAGCAAGAATTAAAGGAGGCAAAACAGAGGCTGGGGCTTCGTACTCAGCAGCAGCCCTTGCATGGCTCTAACAGGTCAGAGCCAGGTGGGAGCAGTGCAGGGTGTGGAAACAGCAGAGCCCCGTGGGCTCTGAAGAAAAAGGATGCTGGCTGGAGGGAAGAAGGGTTCAAACACTCTGCTTGTCCTGGGCCTCTCTCATTTGCAGGTGGTGCTCCACCAGCTTCACCAGTGGACACAAAGGGTGCTCTGAGGATTCCAGATGTGGTTTCCAGGGAGCATGCAACCACCCAGCCAAAGTCCCCGCTGAGGCTCATAGCCAATGCTATCAAAAGGTCCATTTGGGAGCCTCTAACCTCAGCTCCAGAAGGATTAAAGCAGGACTTGGACAGCAAAGTCAAAGCCTCCTCAGAACAAGCCTTCTTCAGCTTCCCCAGCACTCCTGGGTATTCCCTGAGCCAAAGGAACAGGAACAACAATAACACTCAGTCACAGGACCCTAAAATAACGGAGTGGGCAGGAAAATATGTAGGAGATGGGAGCCCTTACGCAAATCAATCTCATTCTTCTGTGGGTTCAGAAGGGACATCTCTAAGGGATTACAGGGAGGAGGTATCCTTCACACCCCACAGGCCTTCCAAGACAGCCCATGTGCCTCAGAAATCAGCTTGCACTAGGATGGAGGAAGTCCCAGGACTCCTAGAAAAGTTTACCTTTGAAGACAGTCCTCTAGGGACTCCCATGGATGAAATATATATTCATGAGAAAAAGTCCACTCTTCTTTCATCTCCAGAGCCCAAGGACAGTGTGAAGGACTCTGCACAGAAAGGGTCACTCTTCAATAGACTGAGAAGCAAAGCTCATGAAAGGGAACGGAATTCCTTGGTGTCATCTCTGCCTGTCATTAAGGACCATTCTCCAGAGAGGTTGTGTTATCCTTTCACAGGTGAGGACCACAGTGGAATTTTGTTTTTATTATTATTTGTTATTATTTAATAATAACTTTGTTATTATTATTACTGCTTTAATCATCACTATTATTTTTACTATTGCTATTATTATTGTGTAATAGCACTTAACCTTTAAAAGACCTGTGAGTGTCTTGTGGTATGTTGTGTTTAATTTCTAGTTATTTTCTACAAAAGGAGATTTAATAAATACATTTTGTGGCTAAAGCTTAGGAGTTGCTACAGATTTGAAGGAGTGGAGTGGATTTGCAAGCAGAACCAGCTTGCTGGACTGAAGTTTGGTTTGCTGCTGGCTGTTGTTGGGACATGTTTGGGTCAGGGAATTGCCCTCAAGAGGTGGAAGGGGTGGCAAGGCAGAGTGGCATGCTGGGCAGAGCAGCTTCTGCAGTGACACTGAGTTGTGGAAGGGGGACTAGAGCAGGCAAGCAGAAGGACAAGCACCAAAAACTCCAGTTTTTGCAGTGCAGAGTGCATTTGTTTTCCCTCCATGAAGAACCAGAGACTGAAGCAGTATGGTTGCAGCAGCAAGAAGCTTTGCTCTGTGTTTGTGCTTCCTCAGCACGTGTCTCCTCAGCTCTGCTGTCAAACTGACCACGCTGTGGACATTCTTTTGGGAGCTTTGCAGTGTCATTAATATCCCCTTGTTGTTCAATTTGAGAGGAGAGAGCACCTTATTGACCTCCTCTGACCCATTTGTGAGTCTATCTGGGCAGTGATTAAAAGGCATCAATTTTCTCGTTTGCTTGCAAGAGCAAGGTTAGTATTAAAACTGCAGACAAGTCCAAGAAATATTGATGCCAGACCAAGAGCAATCTGAGTGATCTGAGCATAGGCTCAGAAGGAATTAAGTGCAGCACAGATTCAGGTGTGAAATATGAGGCATGAGAGCTGCACCCACCTGTCTTTCTCTGTGATCCATCTTCCCACTGCAGAAAGTCTCAGTTATTTAACTAAACTATTGAATTGCTAAACTATTGAACTTAACTATTGAATTTTGTCAACACACCTGTTTGTCTTTTGCTTTATGAAATTGCAACCCAAACTGTAACCCCAAAATTGCTGCTGTGCCTCAGCAATAAAACCTGTAGGTAGAATGTGGGGTCACTGAAATGTTCCCAGTGAGCTGCCAGACCCTTTTGCATCCCTGCTGCTTCAGAGCTGCCACACGGTGAGAAAGATACAGTAGGTAAGCCACTGGATCTGGAGCTCATTCAAACTGATAGAATAACTCCTGCTCTCATTCCTGAGTTTTTGGATTGGATCCTTAGAGCATCCTTTATCCAACAACTGACAAAACCAGGCACTCCCATTGAGCCAGAAGATGTTGAGGACTGCACTGAAGCCACAGAGAGTTCACACATCTCACTGTGTTCTTAAATGGGAGGCCTTTTCAGAGTCTGTACCTCATCACTCCCCATCAACTAAGCCAAGCTGACTTGCTCTTAACTAAATGCATTGCAGTAATTGGTATGTTGTGCTCATACTGAAATGGGAAAAGTTCTTGCAAGATTGAATAATGCTCTTCTTTATTTATGCTGAAAATATTTTGAAATAACATGCTGGTGTAACGTGTTGCATTCCTCTGCTGTGCAAGCCAGAAGAGAAATTATTAAATTATTACAATTATTGAATATAGGCAATGCAAAGTCTGTTTAGAAAAAAAAATTTAAAAAGCTCTAATTTAGTCATTTGCCCAGTAATCTGTTATCTTCTTCTTGAACATTGTAGCTCTCTGAAGTTTTAAAAACATTCATATTTGAGTAAATCTATATATAGTAAAGCTAGTAAAGAGCTGAGTCCTGTTTGACTCTCAGAAATGGCATTTCTGTCTCATACAGGCACTTGTCAGAGGCCCAGGCTTGGCAAACTTTAGTCATGAAGTGATGACAAGCTTTAGTCCACATTTCTTGTTATTATTTTCCTCTCTTGAAATTTACTACAAATTTCAGAAAATTTCTTTAAGGGAAAAAAATACTCCTGGCACCTTGCAGAAACCAATTTAATGAGACTCCTTCTAATACTTCTCTTTGTTCTTTGCAGTAGGGCTTTCCTATCCTGTTTGGGGTCAAACTTGCTCTGTGCAGGGATGGTAGGTATTGCATTGCACTGGTGTTTTCTCCCTCAGTGGCTTGTGGATCCAGAGAATGAGCTGGGTGATAAAAGTCCATGGGCTTGAGATGAGCCTGGGCCAGCTCATCACAGAGAAAACCCCTCGGGGAGTAACCAAATACTTAGAAACCACTTCTGATATTTAATATGTTCTGTCCTCCCATCCCTTCCTGCCACGTGCTCAGCCCCCAGCTGAAGCTCAGCATGGAGAAGCAATCTTCACAAAAATGAAGAATCCTAGCAGCAGATTGCCTGTGGTTCAAACCTACACCTGCAGTGGCACCTTCCATATGGCTCATTCCAGTTTCCCATGTCCTGATTTCAAGGCTTTCTGCCTAACACTTCCCCTCTGTTTCATGACAGCTGGTCCTCAGAGACACTTGGAAATTTGGGGCTGTGCAGAAATCCAGCTGCACAGACTGCTTGTGTAAGACCTAGAGAAAGCTCACTGAATTAATGGAGGTTCATGCAAACTTTTCAGTCACAGACTAGTTAAAAAAAAATAAATCCAAAGTTTGCCTGTAGGATATACAACTGTCCACAAGTAACCATGCTGGACTTCCTAAGTGCTATTCCAGATTTTTGGTTTACTGTACAAATATCTTTAAGTCTTTTTTCTCTGATGCTTCCTTTGTGTTTCAACCTGCAGTAAAATTCCCCCCAAAAAACTGATCAATAAAATTGTTCAATCAGATGATGTTCAATCTGTTCTCTCCTAAGCCTACTTGACATTTTGAAATTCAAAAAAATGCCGAAGTGCCATGTTAATTACTGATACTTTAAGCAGGATAACCAATTCAGCTGATGAGAAAATTTAACGTGCTGTGAACTCACTTTGCTGATTTTGTGCACCCTCAGACTGGGAAGGGACTTCTTGTAAATGTTTCAGGTTCCCAATACTGCATTGTTGTGCCCCAGAAAGTGTGTGTTTGCAGCAGAGTCTCAGTGAGGACACTGCTTTTGCACTGATTTTGTATTTTAGAAGGGGAGCTGAGGCACCAGAAAATTAATTACTTGCATAAGACCACATGAGAAATCTGTGGAGAAGCAGAGATGTGAAACCAAACAGCCAAGTCCTCTGTTCCTGCTGATCATTCTTCTGGATTTCTACTGGCCATTCTTTCCATTTCCTTTCCATTTCCATTTCCTACCAGCTTCCATCTCATTTGGACACCAGTGCCCCAGGAGATATGCGTAACTTTATCTCTCTCTTTTGTAAAACACTGAAGTTCTTACAGTGGTCAGGATTAATCCCATGACTTTACAAAAATATGCAATCTTGGAGAGTTATGGAGGAAGCCAAGAGATTAATACGGCATTATGTTATCAGAACAGCTCCTGCTCCAAGGCATTCTCTGTATTTAGGCTGCAGTAACTGCATGACACAAAAACACCCCAGGAAAGCAAGGGAAGTGAGCTGTGACAGGCAGATTGGCACCAGGGCTTTCCCTAGGAATCTCCAGGACAATCAGTGGTGCTCCCACATCTAACACAAGGAAGCGCCTTACCCTCTTCACACCTCCCTTGTTTTCCAGAGAACCTCAGGTTTCCTGGGAAAATGAGTACATCCAAGTACCTTGGATGTTCATGTTAAGGGAGAGGTTCTCAAAAGCATTGCACTTTCATCTGAGATCCAGTCCCATGGGGAGGGAAAGCTCTAGTCTAATATATGCTAATTTAGAAATGAGGGAGATGCTACAGTACTTAGGAAATGAGAAATATGTAGTAAATAACTCCCAGTCTGAAGGAATGAGATGCCTGGAAAGTGAAAGCCCAAGACTAGAAGACTTGAGTTAGTGTTTGGAAAAGAACCTGTGTTTTTGAGATCACTTCTGCAGCAGCTCAAGCTTTAAGGCTTGTCATATTTGGAGGCAAATGATTATCATCTGACTTTGGTACTGCAGTCCTAAATTTCAGATTTCAATGACTCAGTGAAGTCCCTAAGTTTGAACATTGTTGTGTTTGTTTTGTCCAAATTCTCACAGCTGTTGGCTCAGTTCTGCCTATCCCACCCTGTTTGGTTTGAGGGGTTTTTTGGGTTTTGTTTTGGGGTTTTTGTTGTTTGTTTGTCTTATTGTATGGAGCAGGCTGCTTCTCCTCCAGACCTTGTAACACATCCTAAATTATGGGTATCACCCAAAGGGAAGGACAGAGGGAGCACTCACTTATTCCCTGCCCAGCTGAGAGAAGAAGGGGAGTGTGTAATTGCTCATGTTTCCAGCCCTGCCAGGCTGCAAGGTTTGCCCTCTGCCTGTTGTGGAATTTGGTTTCTCTGGGGGGCTGACCACGGGGTAGTTACTGGTACCACAGGGTAGTTACTCCAACTTCTGGTTGCACAGGGAAAAGCAAGGTGGGGGAGTTTCCTCAGCAAAAGAAGCAGTGGCTGATGCTCCCCACACCTGGGAAGGGAGCCCATGTATTTGCTTAGATAACTAGAGATAGATGAATCTTTTTGAAGGAAGAAATGTGTAGTGTAAATATATAAAATATATTTTTAAAATCTATAATATAAAAATACATATATATATAATATATATAAATAATAAATATATAGACTTTCAGCCTTTATATTTGTTTAGATAACTGGAGAGAAATGTATCTTTTTGAAGGAAGAAATGTGTAGTGTAAATATATAAAATATATTTTTAAAATCTATAATATAAAAATACATATATATAATATATATAAATAATAAATATATAGACTTTCAGCCTTTATATTTGTTTAGATAACTGGAGAGAAATGTATCTTTTTGAAGGAAGAAATGTGCAGTGTAAAAACATATAAATAAATAAATAAAAAAAATATCTACAAGATAATATATAAATATAAATATTGGGCAGGACCTGTGAGACCCACCTGGAGGGCTGCTGCACCTCCCTGCCCAAGGACCTGCACCCAAAAAGGATGGCAGGACCCAAGTCTGCTCCATTGAGCCCTCTGAGCTTGCAGCTTCACTGAGAACAAGGACTGGGTGCTGCTAAAATTGAGATCACTGGGAAAAAAAAAAAATCAGAATTTCTTCCTCAAATTTCTTGGATTTGCTTTTATTGCTTTCCTGTCTGGGATGAACATGTTTCATGCATCCTGAGCTTAAATTAGGGCTGGAGGCAAAAGTCCTACTTCAGCCCTGGGACCCAGAGCAAGGCTAAGAAGAAACATCTACACTGGGAGAAGGGGAGGAGACTTTAATCTGAATACACCTAGAAAGCCAACTGTTGCCTTGTAGATACAAAGAAAAACTAACACTGTTAGCTTTAAATTATGTACATTTCCAAGATGCCCAGCTGTTAATCATTAACCCTGTAGCAGGTTGAAGCAGAGAGACAGATGTTCCAAAAGAGGTTTTATTTTCTGAATTAAAGAGAATGAAGCTACGCATTAGACAAATTAAGAAGAAATTCAAATATTTACACCCAGTTGAAACAAGATGCTGGAAAAACAGGCATGATAAAATTGCTGCAATTAAATGTAATTTAATTTATAATTCTGAAAGCATGTTTCTTCCAAAGGCAGACTTTGAGTTTCCCTTATGGAGTGTATTGTTGTGATGTACAGATTTTCCTGACTTCTTATGGCATTTTAATCAACAGCCCAATGATGTGATAATATTCCTAAAGCAGAAAAATAAGTGACATTTGTTTAGACATAATTAATGAAATATTTATGTTGCATGAGGCTGTGTGATAAAGCCCTGTTCTCTTAGTCCATTTGCTTCTGATTACATTTGTGATTTTTTTATATGACCAGACATTCTGACGCCAACTATTTTACACTGAGCAGATGTCATGTAGTAAAAATGGGTGCCAGATGCTACAAGCCACATAAGGGTAATTTGTTTAAGAGCTGGCTCAGACTTTGTGCATTCAATTACACTGTATATTGAGCCTTATACAATCATTTGGGTAATATGGCTAACTTCAGATATACATTTTAATGAATGTTGAGTGCATTCAGAACAGCGTGCTACATGCAGGGAGCTCAAGGAATTAATTTATTTGTTCGTAGTACCTGGAAAAAAAGAAAATAAAATATATAGCCAGACAGTTTTTGACAGGGATAAAAATGTTAATTAATGTTGTCAGCTGAATTTCCAAATTGCTCTAGGTGCTGCTGATTAGAACTCAGGGCAGGTGCAAACTGTCTGTTTAAGTTAAAGAACAGTATTTTTTGCTTCACTGACCATTTTGTTATTGTGTTTTAGGATATGAACACCTACCTGTCAGAAAACAAGGTACTGAGTATTCTACTTCATCCTCTGATGAGGAATTTGAATCCAAGCCTTCATTAACACACAAGGTAATTTGAGTTGGAAACAGAAAGATATTTCCTTAGTTGGGCTGTATTTAAAATTCATCATATGATTTTGATCTAAAACATGCAGCAATTCCTCCAAGTGGGGATTGGAACATAGGAGGTTACATGCCATGGAGAGAAAATACATTAGGACAGATGAACATCAACAATTCTGTTTTCTCTTTGGACCTTTAATTTCCCCTGGTCATACCAGTGCTGACAGAGGAGGTCTTAATCTGACAAACAGAAATGTTTCACTGAAACCACTTTGAAGATGATTCTTAAGTGGCCTTAATATGTAGCCCAACAAGCAAACTATTGAAAAAAGTAAACCAAACAGATGCAGATTTCCTTTGGGGGAATACGGATTTGTTGGAGAAGTGCTGCAGGCAGCTTGCCTGGAAAACACTCTGTTTGTGGCTCACACACTTGTGCTAATTGGGATAAAATCACACCCAGGCCCTGTACCCCAAAAGGGCTGACAGCAGGAGCTGGGGGGCTACAGCACCCTGAACCCTCCACACCCAGCTCTGACGTGAGGAAACAGCTTTTGTTGTCTGAATAGCTCCTCAGAAATGTGTTTCTCTCTTTCCTGTGCAGAGTATCAGTAAATGTGATTTACAGTATGAGGGGGCCTTTTGATTTGCTGCCTTTGGGGGTGGGGGGAAGAGGAAGGAAAGCAAAGTACTGAGAAAGACTGAAAAATATGAAAGCCAAGTGCGATTTGAGTGGAAAAAGAGAAGCCAAAGCACAGCGATGTGTGGCAGCACTTGTCCCCAGTGGCTCTGTGTCAGGATGTGCTGAGATGGCAGGATTCTTCATTCATCTTTCCTGTTACAGGAAAGACAATCTGTAGTACAATAATGTTATGGTGAATTTAAAAAAAAAGTTTAAATAAAACAGATAAAAGAAGGGAGACATGGGAGCAAACTGGATAGAAGTGACCCCAGCAGTTCAGGCAGTCACAGGGAGGGCAGGACCAGGCAGGGAGAAGGCAGAGCTCCAGGAAGGCTGCCAGAAATGGGAAGAAGGATCAGCTGTTGCACATGGGCATTAGCAGTGATTCAGTTTTGATGCACATTCCCCTCTTGGGGTGCTTCTTTCAGCTGCCTCCTACCATCCCTTTTCATGCCAGCTATTTTGCCAGTGCCACCATTTGTATCTGGCAAAACTTGGTGGGAAAAATTTTAGTGACTTCCTGGCTGGTTAATTTTTTAATTTTGTCTGGTCTATGGTGCTCAGGTATCCTGCCTCCTCAAAAATGGGAACAGCACAGCCTTGAAGGAATTCAGGACAGCTTGGGTCAAAGGCAAGATGGAGAAATGGGAGGTGATTCCCTGCCCAGCCCTGCAGCATGTGCTGTCCTGGTCTCCCGACAGCAGCAACAAGTGCCCAGGGGAAAAGCAAAAATCTCTGTAATGCAGCACAGAAATGGCATTAGGGAAGGTTTCATAGGGCTTCAGGTAGTGTCCCATGATGTGAATTTACCACTTTACAGCTATAGCAGTGGAAATGGGTTGAATTTCCTTAAATGGGTGCTTTTCCCAGCCTCTGTATGGCCGTGTATAGTGGCATGTTGTACACAGTCAGCTTTGTGATTTGGAAATGTTTTATTGACACCCATTTAGGGCCACCTTAGGAGCTTGTGATGCTTTAAAGCCAGCATAGCAAATGCATGTAAATGTTCCTGCATGGCCATTTCCCTTCTGCCCTGAGCACCTGCAGTAGCTCACCCTGCTCTGGGCAGGGGATGGGGTCAGAGTGTCCCCAGGGGTCAGTCCCAATCTCAATGGCTCCGTGGTTCTGGGGGAGCTTTGAGGAAAGCTGCAATGGCATACTTGTGCTTTGATTGCCTTTTTCTTTCCCTCTGTGTCTTTTATAGGCAAAAAGGGCTCTCAGAAGGAGAAGGAAGCTGGAGAAGGAGACAAAGCAGTTGATTAAACAAGAGGAGCTGAAGAGGCTTCACAAAGCACAGGTGAAAATGTAGCTCCCAGATGTCCCCTTTGTCTCCCAAGAGTGACTTGTGAGGATGGGGGTACCCAAAACGGGCTCTGCACCTCCCCTCACTCCTCAGTGTGGCTCACTGCCCTCTGTGCTGAAATCCCCACAGCCAGTACGTGTGCCAGGGCCCTGCATCTCTCTGGGGGACAAACCCATGTCAGTCCCTGGAGATCATCACAATTACCATCATAATTTTGTAAATGTGCATGAAGAACAAGAGGGAATAGTGACTGGCAATAAGAGAAAAGAACTGAAGAGGGAAAGAGACAGAAAGGGGAAACAACATCAACCCTGTAGAATGTAAGAAACTCAGCCATTACCTCTGTGCATTACAGGAGGATACAAAAATACAGTGATGGCTTTTGTTCTCTCCCTGCTTACAACAATGAAAGTGAATCATTTTTTCCCCTTAATGATGGAAAGCCACTTCATTTTATACAGGCCCTGCTATTCAGAAAATGCTAGGAAAGCTCTGGACTCTACTGGTGTGTTATTATTTCCAATTACAGTTTAAGATTTGTAAATGCACTTCTGCACAATTTGATCTCAGATGTATCCTACTTAATGCACAGGAAGAGAAGCTATTTTTAGGTTTTTATCTGAGAATTGTAAATTATCTCCAGGTAACATTAGATGCATATGTGACTACTCTTGTTTTAATACTTTGTGGAGACAATGAAGCCCAAACTTTTGGAATGATCTTTTGTATTTGTCAGGCTGTTGCTGAGGGCTTGGCTTGGAATGCCCTAACACAGCCTGAAATGGGAACTGCTGAGCATCTGTCTTTGACATTTCAACCTTTTAAGGTGTTTCATGCTTTTTATCCCCACCACACCTCTGTTTCAAAGGGAATGGACAATGGATGTAGAAATCCTTCCTGAAGTGCCACTGAATTGTCACAGCTATTAGACCCTTTTCTTTCTCGGTCAAAAGCTGGTGAAAAGTGAAAACAAACCAAACAAAATCCCATGGAAAATAAAATAGCTAGCAGAGCTTTCTAGCTGTAAACCTTCCCTATTTATATGAGCTTTACTAATGTAATATCTCAGAATATATGTCTCTGAATATGAAAGTATTAGCTTTTTGCACCTTGTGAGACACAGAAACGTTATGATCTCTTTTTTTTACAATGGTAGAGCTAAAACTCAGAAAAAACTGAGGTTCTTTTGGTGCCTGTGATACTTACATAAAATTGTCATAGACACCTAGTGGCATTTTTAAATTGCTTAGGTGCCTGGTACACTCAATGAGTTGGCAAGAGCCATGACTCCTTCAAGACCTTTCCAAGCTGTTTCTCTAAGCACTGAGACCATCTTTTGTCTCTGAATTTTTTGTCTGTAGCTTTCCTATCATTACATTTTTGCAGGCAATCCAGCGCCAGCTAGAAGAACTGGAGGAAAGACAAAGAACTTTGGAGATTTTTGGTGTCAAACTGGAGAAAGAACTAAGAGGAGAAGCAGGTACACAAGCAGTTTGCTTGTTTAGTGGTGGGATTTTTAACCTGTTCCAAAGCAGAGGGTTTTAATGGTTGTCATGGAAATAGTTTGGTGCAAAATCTGAAAAGGAACAATAACTGGCAGGACAAAAATGATTGATAAACCATTTTCTCAAACTCTCTGTTAGCTCAAGCACCTTTACGTTGAATGCTTTAAATTTTCTGTTGGTTATCACAGATTTGGAATTATTGACAATGCTGTTGAACGTGAATTTACATTTCCCCCAACACCACACCCCGCCCCCTTTTTTTTTTAAATTTAAGTCCCATCCAGAGCTTAATTTCATCTTGTGGAGGGAACCAGAGAGGTTTCCAGGAGCTGTATCTCAGTTACCAAGCCAGCAGCAGCCTGTGCCTAGTAACAGAGTCTTTAATGACTTTCCTGGAGTGTGAAATGCCATTAATATGATTAGAGCCAGTGGCCATGCTATAGCAACAGCAGCCTGCAGCACACACACAGACCCCGACAGCACGTTGTTTTCCCCAGTGGGCAGATGATGACAGAGGTGTCCCCCTGGCCCCAGCCAGAGGAAAGGTTTCCCCTCACCTGAGCCAGCACTCCCAAGCCCCCAGGGCTGTGGGATCCTGCGCCTGGCCCAGCCTTGGCACTGCTTCCCAGCACACAAGGGGTGAAGCAGAGGGACAGGAGCCCCGGGGGCTCCTGCCAGGCTCACAGTGGGATGGGAGTGTGAGCTGTGCCATAAGGGACTTCAGAGGGGGCTGTGGGTCTGTGCTGCAGGGACTGACAGCCTGAATGCAAATGTGTCTTTATTTACCTCCGCTTTAGAAAACTGAGCCTTGTGTTTTCCTGACAGGCAGTTGTACAACATGGAAAACCCAGATATGTTTTGGCACCTGATCTTGATGTTGTCTTAACCAGGCAATCCAGTCCAACCCCTCCATGCTGGCCTTTTTAATGCCACATTTCATAGCAGCTCTCACCCCTATTCTGACACTGCACTAATCAGTTCAGCAAGAGAGCAGTCACCCAACCTTTTATATTTATTAACTAATTTCCTAGAATTGATCGTGTCAGCCTATTCCAAATTTTATTTTAAATTTTATAATCTATTTTTCTTAAATGAAATCATAACCCTTTGTCAAACAGCACCCCCCTTTACTGCCCATGAGAAAGGCTGCTTAAAAGGCTGCGAGAATTTAGAGAGTTTAGAGCTTTTTTCTTCTGATTTGTATAAAGGTGGTTGTTTTTTGTAAACCTCAAACATATAGAGGGACGAGAAGCTTCTAGCTCTTGGGGTAGACACTGAATACCAGGATAAATGGCCTAGAGCCACTTCTTGTTGTTGCTGTTTTGACAATCGCATTTCCTAAAGAAGGCTGCCTGCCAAGAGATCGATGCTTCTCATTCTCTTACCATCCCTGGTAATTGGATTGCCCTCATTAAGGTGAAAGTACTGTTTTTTTCTCCCTGTTGATTGTTTGTGTGTAGGTGGCCAGTTACAAATAGGGCAGATACTGAAATGTAGGATGTTACTGTCTCTCAATAACTCTTCTGGTGCAAAAGCACGAAGCCGTGAGCTTCCCAGACAAAATGTGAGTGCTTTGCTGCTCGCAATAACATATGTGTAATGATGCAGGAATTAGTGAGTTTAATATTCTGTTCAAGCTTCCTAAAAATAATGAGCATTACTTTTTAATGAATGACCAGTGTTTATTAGGTTAAGTTGTATTTAAGCAGGTCTGCGCTTATGCAATTCAAGTGATTTAATAGGTATTATTAAGGTAATTAGAAAACGATCACAGTTCAGCAATAATATTGAGCTGCAAAGGTTGTGAATAACCAAATTTAGAGGCAGGCCTGCAAACACCAGTTTTCAGTGACATTTACGCAACTCTCCTCTAATAATTCTGTAAGCCTGGGATGAATGGCCTCTTTGTTAGGGGGAGTTATTCATTAGCTCCTCAACTGAATTACAAGAGAACATGCGTGGGTGCGAAACAACTGCCATGAAGACTGATGAGCAAAATGAGGTTTTGATGGTCTTGTAATTGTAGTGACAACAATTCATGCATTAGGAAAAAACCCACAAACCCCCCAAAAAACACCCCAAAAAATGAGAAGAAATAATATCAGTCCTATGAATAATTTCTCATGGTGGTTATTTCCTTTATTCTGCTTCAAAATACCAAATAATAAATCACTGATGTACCGTTGCTTTGTTTTCCACTGACATTTGTAAAGGCTTATGGAGAGCTTCTGCCTACAAGAAAATACAGAAATAAAAATCTCAAAACACATTTTCCACTGAAATTAGCATAAGGCCTCAGTTGACTAAACAAGTCATGAACAATGATGGTAAAGAAGAAAACCTACATTGAGAGAACGTTAGGAAATGTCTCCATGCTTTGAAAGGTGAATAAATATCTGCACATGTTGTAGATAGTTTTTGATTTCACAAAAAAAAATATCTGAGGTGTCTTGGAATTTTCAACAGAGTCAAAAGAAATCAGTTGCAAGCCTGTAGAAATAAGGAATATGAGGTTTAACTGTACCTAAAGAGATGCAAACTGGCCAAGATCCCTGTACTGTGTGATGACTGTAAGAAGGGACAGTGAAGCATCCATCTGAGAAGGTTCAGGTTTTGAAAAGAGTGTTCAGTAAATACTCCTCAACAGCCTATACAATTCCCTCAAAAGTGATGAAAATAGAAATACCTATGATGTAATTAGAAGAATGTTTGACTTTCAAATGGATCTCAGTCAGAGGAGACTTGGGTAAACCAGGAGGACAGGTTTTGCAATACTGTAGGGGAAAGCAAAGATGGCTCACAATACAAACTCACAAACTGTTTTCCCTCTAACCTATTAAAAAAATCTTCCAAGCTGCTTAGTCCAAAATGCTTCTCTGGTTTGTTCTGCCCTTGGAAGGCATCAAGCACTCCATCAGACTTAAATAAGTCTGATAACATTGCTAGTAACAAACATTTGAAAAGCTCAAGGAAAAAATGCCACTGGGAACACTAAGGGGGCATTCTGTGGGATGGAGGAGGAGGCAAAACAAGGGCTACTTTTATTTCATCTTTTTGTGGATTCTGTGAAAATGAATGTTTCTTTGCAAAGTGCATTATCTTTGCTTACCTCAATCAACTTACAACACACAGTCTTTTATTAGAGATACAGAGTTTTTAAAGTGTAAAGGGGAATCGTTAAAAGAAGGAATATTTTTGCCTAAACAAGGAAACAACAAAAATGGAACAGTAACCTTTTGTGTCTGTGCAGCACATATGCATAGCAGCAATTGCAGTGCTTCTACTGACAGTAAAATAGATCAAATTTTGATGAAGCCACCATTTCTTATGGTGGTGTTCAAAGATCAAAGGCTCTGAATACTTATGCTGCATCCCTGAATTGGACTGGTGAGAAGCTGGCATGTTCCATCAAGGAGCACTCCTGCACTCACTCTGGGAAGACACTTTTTATCACCACTTGCTGACCTGGAAGATCCCACAGGAACACATCCATTACTGCCAAGTTTTAATGGAATCAGGCAGGAATTGAAGAGTGCTTTCTCTGCCTTCTCCTACTGTTTATCCTCCTGTTTCATGGTAATTTCCAGTTGGGGTCAAGTCCTGATGACAAACTGCCAGCGTGACTGCTGTCCTTGGCTGGGGCCCAGGTAACTGCTCTGGTGCTGGCAGGAGGTGACCTGGGCTCCCTGGAATGACGGTGTCTGGTGAAGGCATGCAAGGGGCTGGTGATCCCAAACACCCAGCAATGCCCCTTGGCTTAGGCAGATGGCTGAAGGGCTCCACTGGGTGATACCACTGCTGCCTCAAGGAGGTGGGCTTTGGACTGCTGCTCTGAGTGGAGTCAGACCCTGGCTCTGACCTTAGAGGGAGGGGCAGCTGGAGCTGCAGAGACAAGAGGGTAACTCGCTGAAGCACATTTCAAAATAACAACAGAAAAGCATCAGGAACACTGCTGAACTGCCCAGGACTCTGGCTGTCTCTCCCCTTGGTAATCCAGTTTAATGATACTCTTGTAATTGGTATCTCTGCAGCTTTAACCAAAGATCTTTTGGGTTAAGTTTCAGTGCTCTCAGACATATGAAATAAAGGTGCAGTTTCTCTTAAAGTAGAAGAAATCATATAATCATTTAGTAGATCATATAATCATCATATAATCATCAAGTAGAAGATATCATTTCATCATTTCTTCCATCCACAGAAAACATCCAGGCTGGTTTGTGGGGATTTTATTCCTGGTTATCTAGCATTGTGATGTAAGGACTGAGGAGGAGAGAGCTTGTTTCCCTGCCTGCTGGCAGTACTTCTTTTTCTTCATCCTAAATCTGGCTATCACTGCTTCCATGTGTGATGGGGAGTGAAATACCATGGGCTGGGGCGGGAGCACGGCCTGGCTGTTGGCTTTATGCTTCTGAAGGTGCCAGAGTGTCATTTGGATTGTAGCCTCAGCCTGCAGTAGTGTAAGATATTTGCTTCCTACAAGTGATGACCATTTTGTGGCAGCAGGCAGGAATGGGCAGAACAGATGTGGGAGGTGTGTTGGCAGAGCCATCAGTGTTGCTGTAATTCTCCATCGAAGGGAGGTGGGGTGGCTTTGTTTTGTGAAAAAAATGAATGGAAAATGTGAAGTCATGAGGATGTTAAAAAGGACAGCAAGGAAAAGAAATACATATGTGCCCTGACTTGCCATTTGAAAACACCCAGGGGTTCTTCATTGCCAAAGAGGCTTGCACAGATGGTATTTTGGGAGAGTAAAGGTCCTTACCTGATGAAAGAGATCCACCCTTTTCTTCAGCAAGGCAGAGTCAAGCTGTGAGCTCTTTGGGAGAAAGGCTGTCTATCAGTGATGCCCTGGCCCAAAGTGTTATAAAACCACCCACTTATCACAGATTTGTCATTCAAAGCAGATGCAGATTTAGAGGCCAGTTGACAAGTGAAGGGAAATTTGCAGAGGATTTGGTGGTGTGTCTGATGTCCACTGGAAGCAGGAATTAAGCTGCCCCTTGCCAGTGTGTGCATCCTGAAGGCTGATGGTGTTAATGGAATATCCACTTAGACGCAGTTCAGCTCTGAAACCCAGTTTCAACAGAGCCACAATCTTATCAGAGGTGATAAGACAAAGCTATGAGACAGGAATAGTGCCCAATAAAGTCTGTGTGATTATTTGAAAGGAAAAACTTCAGGACAAAAGTGTTTTAAAATTACATCTTTAGCGGCAATAAGCCACAACTTTCAACCAAAAATAGACAAAAATGTCCTATCTGTTGTACTCAGCCATTACTTTGGTAAGTCACATACAGCAAAACCATCTCCATTTGAAGCCACGTGGGCTTACACAGGAGGACTATTGAAGGACAACTTAGTTGCCAAAAGCATTGGAAAGAAAGCTGGTGAAGCACACTGAAGTCTCCTATTTCACACAGATTCAGGCACAAAGGATGAAAATCAGATGCTACATGAATGGTTTGAGCTGGTCATGGAGAAGAATAAATTAATGCGTTATGAGTCTGAGCTCCTGATTATGTAAGTAAGAACAAGCATAAGTATTAAAGATGGGGAGGGGAGAGGGAAAAAATGTACTCACAACCCACAATACACCTGAACACCTTCCTGTGTGCTGCATTTGAGACAGCTGAGGAACAAAATTCAGGGCAGCTACAGCCTGTTTTGAACACAGATTTGCAGCTGAAGCCTCCTCATCCTTCCCTCTCGCAGTGGCTCAAACATTTCAATTCTGTATGATACTCTGAGCCAATGTGGCACAGAGATGCTCTGCCTTTACATAATGTGGTCTAATGAACACCTTCTCCTGGGAAGAAAAACAGTCTGACAAATCCATCTGGTTTTATTGGACATAGGAAAAAAGGACCTAGAAATTCACTACAGCCATGAAACAAACAGATACACCAACACAAGAAGCAAATAAAACCCACCTCAGATGCCACTGTTGTGGCTGATGGAATCAATGTTTGCTGTAGCTCCCTCACCTGCAGACACCCTCGAGACAGGCAGAGGTGACTCTCAGCTCTTTTCTCCATGCTCGTGGGCAATGTGGGAATGTGATGGGAGCCTCAGCAGTCCCCACTCCCCGCTGGGTTTCCCTCCTGTGCAGGCTGCTCATTGCCATTTCTCATTCCCATATCACTCAGCCTGGCCCTGCACCCCAGTTTCTGCCCAGCTGTGCTGGTGCTGCCAGGGCTGGCCCTTTCTTGCCCCTCTCCTTGTCACTGGTGGCAGCAGTGCTTTTCTCACACTGTCTGAGAGTTAAAAAGGCAACAGTGGGCTGCTTTTAGCACTGCAGGACACAAAATGTTGTTGTCTGGATGTGTTCACGTGTTAATTCCTTTGCCTCAGGACCTGCTCCTGTGCAGAAGGCCTGGTGAGGCCCTTCATGTGTGGGCTCAGCCCTGTGCAGAATTGCAATGTGGGTGCCACCAGCAAGGCACAGATGGTCCAAAGCCTTAAGCATTGCTGTGTATGGGGGAGTTTAACCCCATACATAATGTAAAAGGTGACAGTGGTACTCCTGGAGCTGCTCTGGAGATGTTGGCACAGGCAAACCTTTTAGCTGTGGCAGCCCAATAAGAGAAAATACCAGATAAGCAGAACACAGGATCTCGTAATTGAAATCATGTTAACACATAGATCTTCATTGAGAAAAGCTGCTCTTTAACATACTTTTTGCTGCACCCAGAGCCCAAGAGCTGGAATTGGAGGACCACCAAAGCAGGCTGGAACAAAAGCTGAGGGAGAAAATGGCCATTGATGGTAAGTCAAAGGGGACAGTGTGCTCCAGCCCACAGGGACAGACTGTGCCAGCCCCGTTTGCTCCAAAAAGAACCAGGGTGGCTGAGGCTCCTGTGCTCCCTCTGAGCACAGCTCAGCCAGCAAAATGTGAGATCTTCTCCTCTGACTGCTGGTGAAGACAGCTGAGCTGACCTGGCCAGTTCTACACCGACCTGGATCGGAAGCACTGCAGGTGTAATTACACTAATTGTGCTCTCCAGGCAGCAGTGTCCAGCTGATGATGGACAGCAATGGAAAGTAACTTCTTCAGTCCCCTAAACAGAAGAGGTTGTCTGCTCTTGTGCAGCATTGCTGGTTACCACAGTATTTTGGGATTCCTTTGAGGTACTTGGGATTGCAGCTTGGACTTGTCCTTTCATTTGGGATTTGAAAAGGAGCATGGGGAGGAGCAGTGTAGGGAGAAGAGTGATTCCATAGCACTGAGCAACCCAAAATATCCTGTTGTGTTCTAGGCATGTGGATTGCAAGTGACGGCAGTTTTCAGTACATTTTCTGAAAAATGCTTTCCATTTCCTTACAGGTACTACATTTCATGTTGGGATTTTTACCTTATAAGCTAAATTTAAACTACAGCTTAATTGCTTCTATAATTAAGTAGTGCTTTTCCTATCCCTTCCAGTCTAAATTTTGTATAAAATTTACTCTAGACCCTAGGAACCCTAATGGCCAACTTCAAATGGGAGAAATCCAGGAGAAAATTTCCCTGAACTGTAACTTTAACAATACTAACTGCTGTTGACTGCATTTGTCATTGATGATAATGTTAATTCAAGCTGTGCACTAACAGTTAAAATGCAAACAGTGATCTGGTTCTTAAGCTCTTTTTTGTGACCTTTTAGACAGCCTTAAAGATGAGATGGATCTGAACGAGGAAGATGAAATTTTTACGGAGATGATGAGAGTGGTTGAAGAAAGGGACAGACTCGTATGTGCCTTAGAAGAGCAGAGAGTGAAAGAAAGAGCAGAAGACCAGCACTTTGAAAGCCTTATTTTATCTACAGGTTATCAGCTGAGCAGGATTTAAACAGCCACATGCAAATAAACATCCTTTCAGCAGTATTCCCTGTCACGGAGATACACTCTTCTGGAAAATGAAGGAATTCAAATTTAAAATCAACTTATTTGGGAAGCAGGTCATTTTGTTATCAAAAGCTTTAAAGCAGGTCTTTTGCTTAGACCAGAGACAGTTATTTCACTGTCAGCTCAAAGGATCACTGGGATACAGATTTGGACTGAATGTGCCTGTCTGACAGGCACCAGGGTCTGTGAAAGGGAAATCAGAGCTCCATTATTCTCTTGGAATTTTATTTTAATGCTGAGAGTAGAATTTCTGAGGAACATGATGACATCATTTAGTATTTCTGAGACAGCCTTACTTTCCATCTGTTTGTCTGGATCTCTGTGTGGCTTTGTTAATATTTTGGCACAGCCGAGCCATGGTCAGCTATAGAAAAGTCAGAAAATGAGCATCTCATGAAAATAGGGTTAGTTGTTATTTCTGGTGGAGGAAGAGTCGTTTTACTAATAACTACATATAAGCACTTACTAAAACTACTGTAAATGCAATGTCAGAAATTAATTTTTCAGGTATTTATGAGTTTTATTGCACTGTGTATTTTTGAACAAGAATTTAAAGCAATATTAAATCCCTGCATTTTGTAAAATGGTAAGGGATTATCAAAGGGTGACTATCCTTACAGCTGTTACATGCTCAAAAAAGTTTCTGTTTATCAGAGATTAAGGTCTTTAAAATAAGATAAAAGATCATTTAAAAGTAGTAATTCAGACCCAACTGGACTATAGGGCAGACTTTACTAGGGCATACTTTACAATTTCTTCATAAAATACATCACAAATTGTATTGTTGGGTGTGATAAATGGTATAGCAGTTAAAGACCTCCCCAACAATCATCCCATAAAAGGACTGCAAAAAATGCTGAGTTGTTAATATCAACATTCAATGGAAAATATTGTGAGTGTATTTAAATTACATTTATCCTGCTGCTTGAGAATATATGCCTTTTTTTTGCCTAAAGGGACCATCTCCTATCTTTTTTGTAGATTCATTTGTAGATATTGGCAAAAAAGCATGCAGATATTCTCCTAATTTAAGTAACTTCTTAAATCTGAGATAATTCTGCAATTTAAGATTGGTAATATTCCCAACTGTATGTGTGATGCACTAGATTTTCAAACTGGAAAAAAACAAGGGGAAACTGAAAAACTGGGTTTTTGGGGTTTTTTTGAATATAATTTTACCTCATGCTCTGAAAAGATTTGATGTTCTCATTATTTTGTGAATGGTGCTAATTTGCAGCATCTGCCTGTGGTACAGCCAAAGATGGAAGCATTCCTGTCAAAAAAGCTTTAAACTGAAAAACCTCTTAGTGAGTACTGGTAAAGTAACAGACACACTGGGTCCTGTCACAATAATTTTTGAGTTATCTTCAGAGTTGGTTTGTTGTTGTTTTGTTGGGGTTTTTTGTTTTTGGTTTTTTTGTTTCTGTATTGGAAGAAATTTGAAATACCCTTTCTAAAGGTAAAAGCAAGTTTTTGCTATTGGTCACAGATAAATAATATACCTCTGTTGGTTCAAGCTTTATACTATTGCTCTGCAATATTTATTTATATCTATTTATTAGACTGTTTAGAGAGGGTAAGAGTGTCTGGTTACATTTTACAGTTTGGATGTTCTCTGATTTTGATTGAAAAATGTATATTTCTAACAGCTGTGTACAGCAAGACTGTGCATTGTGGAGTAGACAGCTTTATAGATTTGGTACTTAATTAGCAATAAAATATGAATTAAGATTTTAAACAATATTCTCAGTGACCGTAACTTGAAGGGATACCTTTAAAACACAGCATTCAGGGCTTTAACTTATATTTTGTCTTCCATCACAGCGAAAAGACATAGAAGAAATCCTTAAATATGTTACAAAATAAGCACCAGACTTTTTTCCCCCCCCTCTCATTCATAGGCTAAGCATACCTGATCTTCAGATGACATTTTTACTGAGATGGATTGCAGTGATTGATTTTTTAAACTAAAACTCTATTACTTAAGACTGACACAAAGTAGGAGAGGCAGAGCAGAAATAAATATCTTAATTTTCTCTGTTGAGATCTGCTGGTATTTCCAGTATGGCAGAGGAAATTTCTGGGTTTTATCACTGTCCCCAATCCTCCCTCATGCAGTCCTGTAGAAAAAGACAGCCTAGGAAATGTCATAGTTTTCTGTGAAAGTCATAATGATTTCAAGGTATTTTTAAGAAGTTTGAAAGCAAAATTCTTAGACCTTTGCACAGAATTCTGCAGAAATCTCCAGTTATATCAAAGATTGGTTTTCTCATCTCACTTTTACAATTAAGAAGTCCATTCACAATAGTGTTGCTGTTGCAAATAAGCCCTGAGATTTCAGTTTACAGCAGATGGATACCTGTTCAGCTCTAAAACCAAACTCCAAAGGGTGCTTTCCCTAGAGCTTCAAAGATTTGCATTCTTGAGAGTATCAGAGTCTACAGAAGCTGAGGGCCATCAGAACTTTATGGACATCAAAAAATATTCTTTGCTAAAGAAGCACTTTTCTGGATGCCCTGTGGTTGTTACACATGTTCTGCCCAAAACTGGCTGCTCTTGGGTGGAAAAACCTGTCAGGCTACTGCTGCCCTGCCTGATATTAAGTACCTCACAAGATTAAATCCAAAAATAAACTGTGCAAGTGATTTAGAAAATCATAAACGCCTAAGTCATTTAAAGCAGGTCTTTGTGTATTGTGAGAGTAGAGAAGGGGGTTAAAAAAAGAGAAAAGCTATGTGCACTGTTCTCAGGTCAATTTCATATGGTTGGCTTCTACTAGAAATGTATTTAAACACTGGTTTGGTTATCAGTTTTCTTGCTGCTCAATATTTTCTGTAACTTGGCTCACTAATTTATAACAGTTTTATTCATTTTTAAGTTCATGGCACTGTTATTTTGGGGTATAATGTGATGTGCTGGAATGTACTGACTGTGTCTAAATGGGTTGGTTGTGAGAAATTATCTATTTGAAAGAATAAAATCCGGGCTCACTCTTGAAGTCCCCAGATAATTTCATAGAAATTTCTTTCCACTGACACCGACAGCGCAATAATGTGTGATGAGGACAGATCTTTAGCTAAGAAATTAAATCATCTTCTGAACTCATGTACTGGTAAGTAAATCACAGCATCTTGCAGTGCACAGATTCCTTTTGCAGTTCAGAAATAATGATACTCTGAGGTTAGGGGGCATCTCTAACAGAAGAGATTACAAACCTCAGGAGACCAACAACCTCCACACATGCTTACACAGGAATTCACCAGATGATTTCCTTGGGCTTGACACACAAATTATAACAGCTCCTTGAAGAATCAAAGGAAAAGTGTTAAAATGGTGATCAAAATCATACTTGCCCATTAACTGTCAATTTTCAAATGCCACTAATTTTCCCTCTATCAGGTCATCTAATTTTGTTGTTTTCTATCAGTGGGAAAGTCTTACTGACCAAGACAATGTGCTGCCCAGAGGAGAGAAGAGGACAAGCAAGCCTGGGGCCAGCGTGATTGTCCCCTCCTCAATGACTCTGGACTGATTGATAGGTCTCTCCTCCTCACAGGATAGCTGCTTCTCTTCAGAGGTCAATGTAATTTCTGGCAGCTTTGAACTGAGATTTTCCTTTCACTGTCATGTCCTTTCCCTTCCATCTTGTGGACTTTTCTGTCCCAGGAGCAGAATAGAAATGCCACCACAGGAATTTACTGAGGCTCTTCTAATCACAGTGCATGCACACACCCTCCTTGTCCCCTCTTCAAAAGATCACAGGTCCAAAGAAACTCAGTGTTTAAGGATGTGGTTTAGTGTGGATTTGGCAGTACTGGCTAAATAGCTGGACTTGATCTTAAAGGTCTTTTCAAACGTAAACAATTCTGTGATTCTACAAAAATCTTGGGAAAACAATTTTGTAAATCATTGTTTGAATCAAGACCAATCCATCAGCCTCCAAGGTAAAGGGACACCTGACTGATTTGCAGTGTGTTTGACCATAGGAAACAAATTTAGAGGTCTTGTGCCTTGAAACTTCTGCTTTGTAGCCCAATGCAGGTCTGATTTCAACTGAGATTTTCACATTAGTAATTTCCAGAAAGATACACTTGAGCAAGTCACAGGATGTGGCATAGCAGACGGGAGACTCTGTGTATCTTTTACCACTTTGCTGCTGTTAAGATCCAGAGCTGTCCCTGCTGGGCTTTGCACGGACTGCACATTTTGGCATTGTTTAGCACAATGGGTTTGCCATGGTAGCATGCAAATACTGTTCCTTCAGTCTTCGTGGCAGCCACATCTCAGGAGCCTGGGGCCCGGCAAACACTTCATGATGGGCAAGGTATTTGCTGGATTTCACCCAGACTTCTTTGCCTGATGTTTATGAGAAAAATTGGGGTTTCTTCTGTTGCTTCCAATGAGCAATGCAGAGACCTGATAGCCCTGCATGCCAGTATTGTGCTTGCTGGAATATTCGTGTAACACACCGGCACGTAACTACAGACCCAAACAAAGGGTACAACCGAAACTTCTTAAGAAAAAACAAATCATAAGACTGATTTTTTCCTAAAACTGTCTCAAGAAGAACAGTTGTAAATGCAAGTAAACTTGGCCCAGTTTTTGTAAATAACTAATTGATATAACAACATGTTACCAAAAGTAGGGAATACCAGGATGACATTCCCATTTTACCAAAAAGTTTTAAACCCACTTTCTTTCCTCTGAAGCTTTCAAATTATTCACTTCTGTGACTGTATACAACATGTTCTCTTTTATCTTTCATGTACGTTTCTCCTCATCACATCTTAGTCTATCTGTTTTGCTCCTTGATACACAACAAAAATTCATTGCATGTTTTAAGAATCTATTTGGAAATACTCTCTTACTTTTATAAAACAATCTTTTTTTGTTATATTATTTAAAGAGAATATTCTTTTACCAAAGAAGTTAGAGCAGAAATCACAGCTGTGCTTTACAATCCAGCATACAAAAATATGTCCAATCTTAATCTCACCTTGTCAGCTGGAAATTTATCCTCAAGTGTGAGTTTCAGGTGATGCTGGCAATGAAAATTTGGAGCCCTTTTATCCTTGACATGATGCTTTCTGCTGTTCCAAGGCAGCCACACTGCGATGGTGTGGAATCACCTTCTCTGCTCAGCAGGCCCCTTTACTGCGCTATTAACTCAGGGAGGGGTGGGCACGTTCACCACACAGAGCTGGCAGGCCAGCACAAGGCTGGCTGCAAGTGCTCAGGAAAATAAAACGTGTAGACTTTGGTCTAGCTCTCCTGCTCCTGGAGTCAGCAAAGGGTGTTCCTGTAGGCAAGCACAGCAGTAGCAGCAAGTTGATAAATCATTTAAAAAATTCCACTTCCATTCTTTAAATGACCAAATGGTCAAAAGGCTGGAGCAGAGCTACACCTAGAAGAAGAATGACAGGGGAATACTCAAAGGCAAGGGGATGATTTATTGCACAGCCTTAACCATCCTGGCTGCTCTTTCTTGCTAGCCTAGCCCGTGGTTGGGATATTATATACCTTGCTTCTTCTGTTTCTTTGGGGAAGCAAAACTGCTCCTGAGCATCCTGAGTCTCATATTAAAAGAAATAAAAACCAGCTGTGCATGGACAGACATGCAGGTGATTGAGAATTATTTGAAGGGTGGAGGGGAGGGGACTTAGCCACCTTTTATTGCCTGGCAAAAGTACACATGTGAGCAGGATACAATTAATTTGATGTAATGTTTGGCTCATCTGGCTGAACAAGGCGCTGACAGGGAGCGTGGTGAGAGCTCTCATGGTCTGCTCCACGTTTTTCTATGCCAGGTGCAGCAGGGCCAGCCTGAACAGCGGCCTGCTGACTGCTGTGTCCTGTGCTGGGCTTGTGGAGCAGGATCCTGGAAGTATTCTATTGTCAAATATAGAGCAAAGCAAGCTCCATGCCCATAGCATACATACCTTGTGAATACCTATAAAGCCTTTAGTGATGAATGCAATCTTAATTTAAGGCCATAACTTAGACCTTGTGAATATCTATAAAGCCTTTTGTGATGAATACAGTATTAGTTTAAGGCTGTATGTTCATATATATTCTTACATAAAAAGAAAAAAAAAAGGTAGCATATGTAATTCTAAATTTGAGATACAGGGGAAAAATGTTTTAACTGTCCTCAAAGAGAAACAACACAACTGGAAAAATACTGCAGTAATGTTACACACAAAGAACTGCACATAAATCCTGAAAGAAATCCCAAAATCAAAACGGTAAACTTAGGATCACGCTGTTGCTTTAGAATCATTACTTAAAGCACGCAGTATTGGAGTTTCCAGATCTGACAAAGTTCATCTTAAACACATTGTTTCATTTAATTTTTTTCCTCTTGTGATGTCCAACTCCCATAGTTCACGAGGCTATCAAATAAGTAATACTGTATTTATCATTCATTTACATATATTGAGTGTTGAGAAATAGTTTTGTGAGGGAGTTGGCAAATGCATGTTGAATTCTGACTAGCCTGTACTGCACAGCCCAGCACCTGTTGCTCTTTGTGAGGCATCTGGCTTCTTCCTTCTGTATTCACCACAAACACAGTGGTACAAAGGCAAGTGTACTTGTGCTTACCAAAATGTTCTCTCTTCTGCTGTGCCCACAAAATCCTATTCTGACATCCATGTATAGTCATTTGGCTCCAAATGGAGATTCAGCTGGGTCACTGCTCTGTCTGTAAATACCACAGATTTACAGGCATGTTTTTAAAAGTGCTTGATGTGTGTATTTCTCCTTTTGAAACTGTCTTTTATTATGTTCTTTAAAATGAGACATACACTGTATAAGCAGCACTTCTGCAAAAAGAGAATTATGCGTGAAATTTGGGCTGAAATTCGTAGACGAGAGGCCCCAGACAATAACTGGTGCTAGAACCAGAGAGCAAATATAAGGAAAGGATTGTGCTAAGCCTTGGGCTCATTCTTGCTTATAACTGCTGGCAGGATGGACGAATAGAGGTTTTTTTCCAGGGCACATACTAACTGCATGCAACAAATAGACATTGATATCTATCCTCATCAGCTAACCAATGTTACCAGCTTGTAAAAACACAACAATTATTAGCTGATTTAGAAATATCCTCACGGTAATTTCATTTCACTTATTATGCCTAATGGATAGCTGGATATTTGCATGAAGTGTGTGTGGCTTTTTGCCTGAATTGTTAATCAAGTGATTAAGTGGTAAGTGAAAGTAGTGCATCCAGATGACATTAATGCTGTTCCACTCCTGGATGCCTGCTGAACCAGTCACAGCAAATTATCTGTTTTAAACCTCCCTTAAGCTGCTCATCTGCAAATCAAAGCAGGGTTGGTATAGGCAATCTATCATGTTCAGTCACCTTTCCTTCCACAGGCTTTTTATACTGGTCTGACTACAAGAGTTGTTTTGCTTTGTAGAAGTGGATATGACGATGCCCGCTGCTTCTCACCACAGACACAGCTGAAAACTGCAGGCAGAAGAGCTTTGCAAAATCTTATCCAGACTGGAATGTCTGTAGTAAGCTTGGACTTTAACTTGCAGGAAAATATTTAGGGACACTTTATTACTTCCTAAGTTCTTTTGTGTGTCCAGATCTGGGACCTCCAACACAAGGGAGATGAACTTGATGGAGCATGTCCAGAGGAGATCACCAAGGTGCTCAGAGGGCTGGAGCACCTCTCCATGAATACAGGTTGAGAAAGCTGGGGTTGTTCAGCCTGGAGAATGCTTCAGGAGCACCTAGCAGCCTTACAGTTCCTAAAGGGGGGGGGTCACAGGACAGCTGGAGAGGGACACTTGATGGAGCATGTCCAGAGGAGATCACCAAGGTGCTCAGAGGGCTGGAGCACCTCTCCATGAATACAGGTTGAGAAAGCTGGGGTTGTTCAGCCTGGAGAATGCTTCAGGAGCACCTAGCAGCCTTACAGTTCCTAAAGGGGGGGTCACAGGACAGCTGGACAGGGACGTCAGG